AGTGTCACAATCAGAAAGAATACCTAACAAAAACAATTGTGGGGTAAATTTTACCCTTCTTCTAAAAATTCTTTGGATATTCCACCATATCTTAATCGAAAAAGCTTTTATATTTTTACATGACCACCAAATATGATAATAAGTAGCATCCAAACATCCACATCTCCAACATTTAGGCTGTAAGTCAGGATACATACGAGACATTTTTTGTGGATCAAGGTGTTCAGGCTGTCTTCTCTTATCTGATTTACTCTGAAGTAATTCTCAACCCATGCTACATATGAAGTCCATCTCTCAGGGTGTGAGACATCAAATTCAGATAAGCGGCCAATCTTCGCCATCCTCTAATTTACAACCTTCACCACTCGCTCCTCTGCAAGCTTTTATTGGGGAAAAGGGTCTTTTAGCCGAGCTCATTCTCTAGCGATACTATACTGGCAGGCTGGGACACTGATTGAGACGCCGTCTTCCCCTCTTCAGGACTTCCTGGGTGAATCCTTAAAACTTTTTTTTCTTCAGCTTGCAAAGGATCCCATCCTCGTCGCCAGCGTTGTGTTTCCGTTCGTGTGCAAATGATGAAGACACATGATAATAACTAATCAATGCTTTATTCTCTTACTCCAACTCCCAGCAAAAAGCAAAAGGCACGCATGCCTTTTATAGGGCTTGAACCCCGGCAGAGTGAACCAATAAGATTTCTTCTTTCTTTGAGCCTTGTGCGCATGCACTGGCACCTCTCTGTCTGGTCCCGGGCAGCTTTTAGAACCCCCGGGACCATTTGCAACAATTCTGGGCCTGCTGAGTTTCCTCATCAGGCCCAGACACAACATATGGTACTTCAACGATGACATTTTTGTAAGATACATCGATCTGACAGTGTGCACAAGTGCATGCTTGAGACTGAATTTGAATCTGGATCTCCCTGGTTTAATCTAATGCTTTATTTCAGGTATGTTCAGCCTTTTGGGCTGCAGTGAGTAAAGAGGAATTGTCTCGGGCCCTGCACAAAGTATATAATATAGTTGTAGAAAATTAAAATATTGGCTGTTGTTCATCTATACAAGGTTTAGGCCCACGTGAACTAAATCAGGCCTCATGGAAAAAGTATTGAACCAAAGTCTGTGCTATGCTTAATTTTGCAGTTTGCAATTGTACTTTATTTAATATGATTTTGCTAAGCTTGCTTGTTTCAAATATATTTAGAACGTAAGGACTGGAACTGTAAGAAATAGTAGCTGATGGATGCGAGTTACAATGTACACGAGTACGTGGAAAGTTATATTCAGTGCACATACTGGAATGTCATGTTAAATCCAATGTTTGTTTGTTTTTAACTGTATTATAAATAAAATTTCTAAAAAAAAAGTTATATTCAGCAAAGGGTCAGTAGAAAGTGTAAGGTTGTTGACCATCTGTCTATGGTCTTAGGATGAGAAAGGGTATAAAAAATTGGGACTGGACCTGATTGATTGGCCACTGGCCTATAGCTGTCCTTATTGCAACTGCTATGTCATTGGATGTTTATGTGTGTGTTCCAAATTATTGCTGAAATAAGCCTCTGAATCTTAAAGTAACAATTATTGCTCTGTGTTGCTGTCTCTTGTTTTTTTCATTGGGTTTTTCCACAACATAGTTAATGTATATAAATAACAAACTTTCCTTTTTAAATGTATATTTTTATTATGATCTTGTGGGGCCACATCACTAGCTGTCCAAAACCACATGCAGCGCATGGGCCACAAGATGGACATGCCTGCTTTAAATACAACACAATGGGCCCTGTATAATTTAGCATTATATTGACTCACTAATTCTGGCATAGCTGCAGACAGAACAATATCTAAAAAATAATTCTGAGCCCAGCTTGCAATCCAAGCAAAGATAACAGTCTCACTTTCATATAATATTTTTCAGCACCAAAGGAATGCATTAGAGAAACTAAGGAATTACCATTATTTGATGCAAGGAAGAAATAGAAGAATATTCTGTTTGCTCTATTCTCAAAGAAACTTTTTTTCCTTTCCAAGTGAAAACTATTGATTCTTATTTGAATGAAAGCAAGTAACAGTTCTCCTCTCAATGAGAGATTGTTCTATTTGTTTTAATCGATACTCAGTTCAGCTTTGAAAATGCTATAAAGAAATTACAATGGCCAAAAAACCGAGCCTGATTAAGGGGCTCAGAACTATTTGGGACAACTTCCAGCAGCTTCACAGACTCAGATCGACATGGCAATCATGGCTCTGCCTCAATTGCTTTTGGGCTCAAAAGCTGTAAAAGCATAGTCAACTACAAACTGTGCGAAATAACTTTTGTGCAGGTGCACATAAAGCACTTTATATGGTTTGACCATCCCTACTGCAAATCTTGTGACAGCTCACCTCCCCAGGTTTTATAGCTCAACACACTCAGCACTGCTGAAGCCATTTAATGTTTTGCTCAGTTACAATAAATGTAGTCTCTGTAACCAAGGCCATTTAGTGGACATAAAGAAGACAACATCAATCTTGCGGTCGTCTGCTTAATCCTCAGGCAATTTTGGTTAGCAATTATAATCTAAGAGAAATGGATTAATGTCCTATAAATAGCTCTCATACTGAATAATTCTGAGTAAGTTGTTATGTATATTTCAAAGTCCGCCAAGAAACAGAGAAAAAAAATGACAACACAAGTGCAAAGAAGTAGTAATGCTCCTCCCACCCAAGCCTCTTGTGCAGACAGATTTTCTCCAAAATATTTTTTTACATAGCCTTTGCTATGATCTTCCATGAAAGATTGTTGGTCCATGACAAACACATAAACCATAAGTAAAAGTTAGTCACTGGAATGTGGTTTTCTTCCCTATTTATTTTGCAAAACAAAAAGCAAACTAACTAGACCAAAAGGTAAAGGAAAACTATTACCAAAATCATAATATGAGGGGAGATACTAATCAAGAGTCTACACTTATGCACAAATACAAATTATTGTTCTGTGATAAACACAAAAACCACAGCTACAAGTTATTCACTAGGATTTGATTTGCAGCTCTGCTTTACTCTCTCCTCTATCAGGTGAAACATGAGTAAACAAGTTCATTAGCTAATAAAGTACACACCCAGAAACTGTCTCACCGAAACATTCACTTTGTCTCATTTAAAGCCCTAGATGAAGTAATCAGTCTCTTGACAATAAGCTTCTCGATAAAGGTCAATGCCAAAGCAATGTCGCAGATAAGTCATAAGGTGCCAGGATGCAATGAATACTATAAACACAAACAGGCAATTTAAATACAAGATTTATGCTACTATTTTTAGTTCCCAAGTCCTCTCCATTAGTGAACAATTAAGAAAGTAAATTACTTCATTATTTCTAATAGTATAAGATTCAATCTATAATGCCTATTTGTTTTTAAATGAAAAAGTTGTAATGCCAACTTTTAAGTCCAGGGAGGGAAGCCGCTTATGTTTTGAAGTTGTGAGGCAGCCGGTGACACAGGAAATAACATGCTGGTGGAAGCAAAATTGGATTTACCCAAGAGCTTGTCTACAGTGGCACCTTGCCTCATTTAGACCATCAGCCAGTTTTGGATAGCAGGAATGAAACCCATTGCCCAGGGTATCATGAACACAACCTCCAGGCACATTTTCCTGACAATGTTGCTTCCACTGCTGTAGTCCGTTTGGCTGGTGTTCTTGAGTTGTTCAAGGCTAACCCCAACATTTTATCAGTTGCAGCACAAACTGCCAGGAATGCCCCTCACCCTAACCTGTGGTCAACATCCCATACTACCACAGAGGTTAAGGTGAAGGGCATTCCTGGCACTTTGTGCCCCTTGAAAATTCTTTTGTCTTTAAGGACTTTACAGGTGGATTACTAAAGACCCTTACTCACCAATTCAGTATGTTTTAAACTTCAAAGTGTGATTTCCCATATGAAACAACCAAATAAACAGCACTCTCTATAACTGTTACCTTTTTAATGTTTCATGAGAGAAGCATTTCTCCCATGAATAAAATAATGAAGTGGAGTGTTCTCTCATATTATTTTCTTATTTACAGTTCATAAACTGTACATAAATAGTAAAAAAATGGGCTGTTTAACTTTGTTGTCATGTGGGGACTGAATCAACTTCTTTTCACTCAGGAATCCATTGAAACAGACAATTTGACCAAAGATGCTTGAACATTTGCATACAGCTGGATGGATGTATAGATAGATTGACATCTGCCAAAACCTACATTCCTCCTCTCAATAGAGGCAAGGCCAAGATGCATGATAAATTAAATACCTACTTATTAAAATGAATTGCCTATAAAATAACATTCTCTACCTATAAAAGCAATTGCTTATTTGCATATATTATCCTGATTGGCCAGAGGCTGTAATAAAAATTCTTTCATTCATATACAATTCATTTTTCTTTCATAGAAACCTATTGATGTAGATACATTCTCAACTGCCTTCCAGCAGAGAAAAAAACAGAGATGCAATAAGTTATAATTGGCAGAGAAGAAAAGGAGAGAGCCTTGACTTAGCCATTATAAAAAGGACTAAAATCAGTAAGAAGTCAGCTAGCACATAAGTTTTTCCAAAGCAACAGCTGATCCTGAGATAAATCCTAAAGAAAACTGTGTTTTGCTGCAGCACTCTTTGCAGCTGTTTACATATTTACCCATTCTCCTCTTTTCACTTCATTTATTTCTCTAGACACTTCCAACAATTCAACAACTATTTATTGGAGAAATAACTATTATGTAGATCAGTCTGGAGCAAGTCCCAGAATTCCTCAGCCATCTGGCACTTGAAATTCACACTTAAGAAACGGTTAAGAAACACTGATATTGATGATTATTCACAATTGGTTATAACGTAACTCCAGCAGGGCTAAAAATATTTCTGCCTTATTTTAAGTGACATTACCACCTGCACATTACTGCAAAGCATATTTCAGCATGGCACATATTTATAAAACAAACATCAATCCTGCAACAGCCCAAAATAAATATTAGTTAACTTACCCATTCTTCTACATTAGGAGATTCATCAAACCCTTTTGTGTTATCCCAGAGTATACTTATTTTACCATAGTAACCTATTTTACTTCGGGTCTTTACTGCGAAAAATATTATTATAGCCAAAGCTGCAGCAATCAGGAAGCCTAATACAATAGCAATAGCCTGGGGAAAAAAGCAGATTAGTATGTTTAGATTACTGCTTTTACAACCACAAATAATCTTAATACTCTTAAATAGAAAGTCTTTTTCAAATTACAACTAAACAACATGGAATCATTACATAGTAACCAAATATGCAAGATTCAAAGATAAATTTAACCTATTTTCACTATATTGAGAAATTTTGATTTATACAGAAAACTAAACAAATTGGGAAGGAGCTTCTTAAACATAGAAATAAGCATTATTATTTACATGTGTTTCAGTGGCAAAAGCCAAGCATTTCATGTACATAGATATGCATTATTTTAACAATAATATTTATGCAGTAAATAAATATGTCCCTCATATTTATTTAACTGAACTCAGTCTGACAGAACACTGCTTTTGGAAAAAACAATCTAATCTTTTCCATGTTTAATCTATAGTATATTTTTTCCAGGCAAATACATATGTATTGTATATAGTAATCAAAATATGTAATACACTTTTTTCAATAAAATTATAAAAACTCTTTTAATGATCAGATAAATTTCAGATTCCCCACTTGTATTGGTTTGCTTACAAAGAATTAAGCTTGCACAAATGCATTAGATATATCTAAAATTCTTATCCATTTACAGAATCCCTTGGCAAAGGCCTAAGTTAGTCTAATCCAGTGTTTCTCAACCTTGACAATTTTAAGGCATGTGGACTTCAACTCCCAGAATTCCACAGCCAGCAATGCTGGCTGTGGAATTCTGGGAGTTGAATCCACATGTCTTAAAATTGTCAAGGTTGAGAAACACTGGTCTAATCAAATACAAACAACTGCAGCCAATATATTTAGCAAAAGGTTTTATATATGAAGTAGAATTTTAACTGGGAAACATATAATTGGACTGAAAATGTACAGATACAAACAAATAATGGTATATAAATGCAATCAAGCCACTATGTTGGAATCCTGCACTTATATGATAGTTAATGGCAGATACTATAGGTATTGTAGCCCAAAACATCAACAATGTTGGAGTATCGATGATGTTATCTAGTTTGGGTCACAAAATGTCTGCAAAAAAACAACCAAGCTTAGACAGTACAAGGGTGAGCACTGTGTCAAAATCTGTTTAGAAGAAATGAGAACTAAGACATTTCCATATTTTTGTTGTTGTTTCCCTATATTAAGAACAAAAAAAAATCACACTGCTGCAAAAAAAGGGTGACATTCAGTGTCCTGCACAAATCAGTGAAATCATTTCTGCATAAAACTAAGTTTTAATATAGCTATTTAATTCTATTTTTTATTTCAAACACAACTAATATTTTGCATTTGGTATGATACTAATTTATTTACATACCTCCTGAGGTTCCACCACACAGTAGTGATATAAGTATTGATTCATGTAGAGTCCAGTAACTGTGGTTGTATAAAACTGGTTGCACAACATATAGATTTGATAGTACGATGCTGATCCAGAAGCTTGTGCAGTTGGGTTGACTGCTAGTATATACACGATTGTAGCAATGAACATCAAGAAGAGCAATATAGAGCTTGTTATTATCACAAAGAGATAATATTTCCTTGTCCTGGCCATCTTAGTCTTTGTAACACCAATCACAAAAACCAGCAATCCAGCAATAAAGCAAAAAGCTGTCATTGCAAGTATAAAGCCTTTTGCAGCTCGTGAATCAATATTATTTCCTCCAAGGCCATATGCACTATTATAGCTACCATAACTTCCAAAACCACTGCTGCCAACGTATCCACCATAGTTATTTCCAAAACCTCCATAGCCAGAGTACCCCACACCAGTTCCTAGTAGACCTCCATACATGTCCATATCCCAAGCCAGAGTAGAAGCAACACAAGCAAAGACCCCAATAGACATGACTAGTATGAGAATTGACATGATCTTGATTATTCCTGGTGGGGAGGACCATTTGTAGAAACGTTGCACTTCATCTTCCGGATAATAAGAATACGCTGGTTGAGAGTGCATAAGCTGAGAATGGAATTCACCACCAAATGTATTGTTGCTTGGTAAATGGTGTGAAGGTATGCTACAAAGATTAAAGAAACTATTAGACACAATTTTACCAAAGCAAATAACATTAAATGTCAAATTTACTTCATTATAGTCCTCCAAAACATACAGTATTTTCCGGCATATTAGACGACTTGGCGTATAAGACAATCCCTGACTTCGGAGCTGATTTGCATGCTTAGAAAGTCGTCTTATCCGCCGGAAAATACAGTATTTATATATGCTATATATTCACACGTATAATCTGCCATGATCAAATACAATGTGCATATAGAAAGTCCATAAGATTTCTTACTGCTTCCAAAAAAATGCTTATCATTAAGTAGTGTTCAGCTGCTAATGTCTGACCAAAAGATTTAATGAAGTAGGGAATTATGTGCATGTGCAATACTCACTACACTGTGGTGAGATGGAAGCCATTTCCCTAAATGGTACTTTTTAGATATATGGAAGAAAATGAAAAATAAGATGGAAAAGATATTTCATTAACATATTCATTTAATTGAGCCATGAGTCTGAATCAGCAATGAATATTTCTTCCATTAAAATAATTAGCTTGGTAAAAGCAGCTATGGTCAGTTATTCTGATATTCCTGTCACTGGGAAAGTACACTTTATCTCCCCTTTCACTTCAAATTTGTATTTTATGAGATTCAAAGCTCCCAAACATTTGTGTGGCTGCTGTTAAATATTCGGCTACTTGGGAAACATATAAAAAATTTTAACAAAGTGAGCAGGTGCTATAGTGTATCTTAGCTTTAGTCACAATATAATACTCAAATCACTGTACATGTGTTTTAATAGCTCTGTCATTATATCAAGAATTAAGAAATTATATCAGCAATGGAGAAAACTGCCATAAGCCATATTTTAATAGTGTACTTTACTTATTTATAGTAAATGAAATAGATATTTACAATTCATCTGGTCGATAGGGTGGAGGACTTTCAAAAGGTCTGGGTGACATAGTGGAAATTGAGTTGTGACGTTTTTACCTATAAAGAAAAATATTCTAATAAGTTATTTAATATTTTAACTTAATTGAAACAAAATGCTAATAACTATGTGAAATGCAATTTTCAAGATTAAGTTCAGGTCACAACACACATCTTTTAGCCAAGAATACCTGGAATCATGAGTTAAATTATTAATTCTCTATATCACGATCGTCTATTTTTTCAGTTACCTAAATTTATATAATTTACCCTTGTAATTCACAGACAACTATTTAGATTCACTATGCAATCTTACAGAAATGCAGGCACTCCTCATTCAGTGACCACAATTGGGACCAGCTATTACAGCACTTCACTAAGTGAAGTAGTCTCTAAGTGAAACTGAACTGTGTTTATGATCTTATGTCAGCAGTCCTTTGCTTTATGCACCCGCAAAGGTTGTACCATAAATGCAAGGATAGAGTGCAAGGTTACTTTTTCATCACTATTGTAATGATTACTAAATGAGGTATAATTTGAAGATTAATTCTTCTGCATTCTTTGGTGTTTATTTCAGACATAAGTAAATTTCCACTATATCATAGATCCCACTTCCTCAAAGTTTTTATGGTAAGTAGTCTTTTTAGTCTAGATAAAAACTGCAGTTTCACATTCTGAACATATTTTATAAATAAGGCCGTCACAGGAAATGACAAAGGAGCTCCTTTCATAATGCCCCTTTTATTAATGAAATAATTTTTCACCTCTTTCAAGAAAAGTAACAACCAGGAAAAACTTATATCACAATACTATAAGGCATGCACTTATTTACTAAGGGTAACCTCAAGAACAGAAAAATAAAGCTACTGAAAAATATTTTTCTTGCTCTCAAAGCACCTGTTTTTTAATAATAAAATAGAGTAAAAAAACAATACTGTACAGAATGTTTTACAACTATGAATTAGAGCTAGGAGGATAGTAATGTTTTACAACCATGAAGTAGAGCCAGGATGATGGCAATATATAAATTGCTATATTACATTAATGCACCAATGTATTAATTCCATAAATGTGTTTATTTAAAACAAACATCTGAATAAACTAAACATAAGATTATTAAAGGAATCACATTAATGAACAGAATGGCAACATTGCAAGAAGCTGGGACTTTTATTATAGGTAACACAGCCCAATACTAAAGACTTCATTTTTAGAAAATTTCTTAAAGATTTGTGTTTAGTTCTTTAAGAGCAAGCTTAAAGATATTCACAACCATATATTAGAAAACACAGCTCAGTGTAATATAAAGTGATTTAATTTGCAAAGAGCAGAAAGAGCCAAGTATCTGCCATCTGTATTTAAATTGGATACACTTGTAAATCAGATTAATAAAAGAAAATAGGCATTAACATTACTAGAAGATGCTTTCCAATGTATCAGTAGAAGAAAACAGTAGCACTTTAAAAACTGGCTATCAGTTTGTATGTACTGTGCTTATCAAATGCTTAAACTGCTATCAACAAATTTATGTACAGTAGGTATAGTACAAATGTAAGGTAGCATACATACAAGTTTGGATGTTTCCTGACAAGGCTTTTATGTTGCATAATCTTCTCAATCATAAAATGCTATGGAACATGTAGAATTTTTTTGTCACTTAACGATATCACACTGTTTGGGGGTTTTTTTCTTACAAGAAAATAAATATCAGGGAATAGTAGAATAATTACAGAGATGTTGATTTCCAACTTTCAAAACTATCTCAGTCACCTGCAAAGTGCAACTATTTTTGCTACAACTGAAGAGCCCAGCTAGCTGTTATGTGGAAACATAGTAAGTCATGATAAATAAAGAGGTATTTACACCAGAAATACTTTCGAGACGAAAAGTAGACAATTAAGGTTTAACACATACATCAAACTAAGCCAAAATGCAGTTTGCTTGTCTGAAACTCAACCTTCAAAAATTTAAACTTGATTGTCACTTAGCATAAATATCCCCGAAGGATCCTTATCAAGGGATAAAATATCCCTTGCAACTTAAGGAGAAAAATAAAAGAGAAAATCAAAAGGCACATTCACTCCCCCCTCCCCCCATTTCCTGCGTCCCCTTCGGCGCCCCCCCTCCTCCGACCACTATTGCTCAACTTTAGAAAAAACCTGAACGAACTAGTTTGATCTAGAGAGATCGCCGTGGGACCGAAGCACTTTTCAAGTCCTAAAGTTAGCGCGACGGCGACAACCACAAGGACACTATCTCAAATCACAGCCAATTCAGAGAAAAACAATTAGGGAAATAATTCCTCCCAAGCTCCTTTTTACGCGCTCTGCTCTGAGCGCCTTTCACGCTGCCCAGCTCTGCCCACCAGCTCCACTGAAAGGCAGCCTTACCTCGCCTTCACGGAGCTCCAACCACCTGTTGAGGTTTCGCACTTCTTAAAAGGCGCATCGCCTCCTTCTGCAGCCCAGGCAGGCTGTCGCGCGCGCCACACCCAAGTCAGGAGAGGGCATGCGCAATACCTACATACCTGAGCAAAGGGAGGGGAGAGGCGCCTTCGCCCCGCTCGGTTCCATTGGCCGATCGCTTTCTTCCAGGCCGATTCGGGGGCGGGGCTCGGAGGCACCCAAGAGGCCGAGAGGCGAAGAGAAGTGTCTTTGTCTCTTTGTGACCCAAACACCTGAAACTCGCCCGCGGGCAACCCGTAGGTTGGTCGGATGAATCCTTCAGGGCGGGAGAGTTCCTTTAACGCAAGGAGGACTTGTTTCCATGGGTTGTTTCGCTATCATCTGACAGTTTCAACCGCAAGGACTAGCACCACGAGGAATAAATAATTAGACTAAGGCTTGTCCAGCGTTTTCCTCTTACTGCAATCCTCTAAGATAGCAAACCTTTCCAAGGAGAAGCAATTTATTTTCCTGCCTGGCTTCCGGAGAGGCGGAATCAAAGAAAGAAGAGGCGCTCTGGGACAGCTAGTTCGGAAAAGTTGGTACTATGTATCCTTTTGGGTGATCGAAAGTTTCAGATGGGGTTCATATCTTCCTTCTTTGTAATTAGCACTGGAGTTGTAGTGCGCAAATATACGCTGCACATAAAAAAGGTTTTATTGAAAAAGAATTTTCATCTTCAGGGAGACATCCCCCATCTCAGAGTTATAAGATAGGAGGTACACTATGTGTTTCTCAATCTTAAAAGTGTAAAGATGTGCGGACTTTAACTCTCAGAAGTCCCCACTCAACAAGAGAAACACTGCTGCAAAGCAGAGGTGCACATCAAGTAGCCTGGAGAAATGTTGGAAGTGCCCCCTACATAGACACACCAAATAATGTTACCAAACTGTGATTGTTTAGTGTGACAGAAGAGAAATATTTAATAAATGGTTGAAGAGAAACAATGTGTAAATTTAAATATAAATGAAAGTAAACAATTTCAGGGTTGTTGTGCCATCATTCAGAATTTTTGGAGCTTATTTATTTATTTATTGAATCTGTATAGCCACCCAACATCATTCAGTAACTCTGGGTGGAGCCCAGCAATAAAAATAGCATTGAAATCAGAACAAATCAATGCAAACAAATATAAGACATGCAATACAAAATCACATTAAAACACACACATGGGCGCACACACACTAACCAAATCCAATCAATAGGTCACATTCAATACAACCATTGTAAAAGCTATCCACCACTACTGACCCTAGAGCAAGAACAAAGCTGTCTTTTCAGCACCTTCCTGAATGCCATAGGGTCAGGACCAATCTAAGCTCCAAGGAACTGATTTTCCAAAATGTGGATCCCATGGGTTTTGTCAGGTGGCACTTCTTCATAGACTTAACTTCTCCTATTAGACTTGATGGGAAGAGTAAATGTAAATATAGAGAGATAGTCCCTCAAAAAATGTATGCCATTCAAAAGGCTTTGCTGACTATAAAATAAACCAAAGGTTAACAAAGATACTTGTGGGCACCATGGAATGTGATTGCCTTTGATAGTAGTTGCAAAAGTCCAAATCCTGTGAGAGATCAAATTACATGAGAATGTAATAATAATAATATTAATAACAATTATTATTATTGTTATTATTATTATTGTTATTATTATATTTTTTTACAAGAATACAAAGAACTTGGTGATTTCATGAGATCTTTAGAGGCCATCTTTGGACTCAACTATGATACACAACTTTCAACCAGTTGCCTATTTCTTGATTGAACTACTGTGACATGTTTTACACAAGGCTGCCCTTGAAGACCATGTGGAAATTGCAACTGGTCCAGAGTGCAGCAATGCACACAGTTTTGGGCAACTCACGGTTTGTCCATGTTACACAGTGGCTGTACAAGTTTCTAGGTTTTTTTTAGCTGTAATTCAAGATTCTGATTATCACTTTTAAAGCCCTCAGTGGCACAGGAGCAGGTTGTTTGTGAAACCCCTCTCCCTGAGGGTATTCGCCCACTGAACCAAGTCCAATAGGATGGGTGTACCCAGGTCCCTTCCCTTAAATGTTACCATCCAGAGGGATCTAGGCAGTGTGCCTTCTCACTAGCAGCCCCTGCCCTTTGGAATACCTTCCCTCTGAAATCTGGCAAGTCCCTACCCTTCCAGCTTTCTGGAAAGCCTTGGCTTAATGACCTGGCTCTTCCTGCTAACATGTTAGAGTAACATATTAGCTGGAAACCAGAAATGTTATTTTGTGCTTTTTATTCTTTATAAATTGCCCAATATTATGATACATGATGGGCAGCTATATAAATATTTTAAATCAATGAATTTGAGGCCAAATCAATGACCCCTTGCAGGGGTGTCAAACTGCTGGTCCATGGGGCCGGTTGCATCGTGTGGAGGCCGCACCCACCCAGCTCTGGCAATGCAAAAAGTTGCGATACGTCGCAACATGTCACGTGATGTGGCGAGCTGGGCCATGGATTGAGAATTATTCTTTTAAAGATCCTTTCAAATGTTGAAATATATACCCTTGGGAACTTTTAACATTGTTCTAACTTTGTAGTAGGAACAGGGCTGCATGGCATTTTTCTGTTCCAAAAAAGGCACTTATTTATTTATTTATTTATTTATTTTTCAAAATGTACGAGGGTAGCTGTGTGGTCCCAGGAAAAAAGGTAGCTTCTATTAAAAGTTCTAAGAAGATGCTTCATTCAAACTTCCATTTGTTTCAAAGAATGTTATTTATTTATACTTATGTAACTAGCTATACTGCCTGCCAACTGTTAATAGTCTCAGCCATTTATAATGGAAAAGGTAAAATGACAAATAACAAGTAGCTAACACAGGTGAACTTAATAATCAACTGTTCAGATTAGCTGTTGAAAGTCTGTATAAAAATGTTTTGAAGGTTTTTAAAAAGCTAATAAAGATCTTAAGTCCTTCAGGTCTTAAACCACCAGGAATCATTAGGAATTATAGCAGTAGACAAAACTAGTAAATACGCAGATTCTTCAGGGCATGCATTCCAAACAGCATGGATGGCAACAGAAAAGGTTTGTTCACCAGTTGTTACAAATGCAATTCTCAGTAAGCACAGAAGTGCATATAGAAAATTCTGTTCTCTCAAATAATATGGACCTAAGTATTGTAGCATGTTCAAGATAATTTAGTGAGTTTTCTGTTTTGCCCAGAACTGGCAAATAAATTTAGCATTGAATGCAAAGCCTTGCACAGCCCAATTAGTTTCAATTACCTGCTTTGCCCACAAGGCAGGCACAATCTATGGCAAAATCAGGTGAACCACATAGCAGCAAATCTATTTCCTGAGTTTAGGGTAACAATGGATTTCAGAGATACTTCTTACACTGCAGCATACATACAACCATGATAAACAATGACAACAATATTACAACCATTATTAGGTCTAATTACATAATGTTTCTACCCAATGAGATAAAGATACAATACTTTGGTAGTAATTAGACGATTATTTTCTAGAGGATATTGACATCTGAGAAAATGAGCCAGTTTGGTCTAGTACAGTGCTTTTCAAACTTGGCGACTTTAAGCTATGTGAACTTCAACTCCCAGAATTCCCCAGTCAGCACGCTTCTGGATGTTATAGCAATATAACTGGATAATGTATGCAGGTATTTTGTTACTCCATTTTGTTTTGTTAATTCCCTACCTGGCAGTCAAGAGTCAACAAATCCACTGGTTATTAATCAATACTAATTTGGGACATTATATCTTGAAAAAAGAGTTCTACAGAATTATTGAATAACATTATACCATATTTGTAGTAATATATACATACACAATGACTGGACTAATTCAGGCATGATAAGCTCGATACAAAATAAACCACATTATATCTTTGCATATTATGTGAATGCAGTTACTGAATATTTTCATGGTTTCTTGCAAATAACACTGTTAATTCCTGGGCAACACTGAGGGACTTTTAATAAACTATATGTATATCATATATTTTTACTTAAATATCTGTGCAGATACAATGTATATTTAACAATTAAAATGCTCCATCTATTCTGTGATTCATTTATTAAACATATTAAAGAGATTGATACATCCCAAATATTATAGTTTCAGGTGGTGCCCTTCTATTTCAATCTTTTCTTTTTACTTCACATTCCACTGCCTTGCAGTAGAATACTGTCTCTGAACCAATTATCTTGAAAAAACAGATGTCAAGCATTTAAATGAGTTGCTAACACAAAGATTAACATTTGGCAAATGACATAATATAAAACAAAGCTGCTTGCTGCCTCAGGATACAAACCTCAAACATATGGAGGTTTGATTAATAATTTATGGTTAGAATATAATGATGGTTAGAATATAGTCACTTGAAAACACTTGCAGCTTTTGAATTTTAAACACAGTGTAGTAGAATCCATTTGCAAAAGAAAGCTGAATGCATAATAATAAACCTTTGAACAATGCAATTACCATTTATGTTTGCCCATATTTGGCAAAGCACTACACATACTTGCTGTGTTGACTAAATTCACCTACTTATATTCTTAAGTATGTTACCTAAATTGGAACAGCTGTCACTTTCAACTGCATAACCAGAATGAGATTTCATGTGAAAATACTCAGTGACTGAGTTTACACAATGTGCTAACGGACAGTGGTTTGCTCCCTGCCAGCTTCCCAGAAGAAAGATCAACGGGGAAAATGGCAGGAAATTGGAAATCCCAGGCTCACAGGCAGGTAAGTGACTGCCACTGGATGGGAGAGGGAGTGTGGGTATGTTTGGGAGTGCAGGAAAGGTTCTGCATAGGATCAGGGAGGATGCACAGCTTGTAAGCAGGTGTGCTAGGGTCAGGTGTATAAATGTGTGGCATCGGCTAGGGCACAGGCCGGCAACCTGCGGCTCCAGAGCCGCATGCGGCTCTTTGAGCCTTCCCCTGCAGCTCCCAGCCTCCTCTACCATTTGCAGAGAGACAGAGACAGAGCTTCTCTCTCTCTCTCTCTAATCTCTGTGTGTGGTGTATAAAAAAGAGAGTAGCTTCACCCTGTTCCGACGAGCTGACAAGCTTACTGGGCAGGGCTCCTCCCTTTGCTGCATCTCTGCAGGAAGCAGGAAGGGCAGGAGAAAGCTAGCTAGCCCAGCTATACTGACTCAGGAATTCTGGGAGTTGAAGTCCATGAGTCTTAAAAGAGCTGAGGTTGCCTACCCCTGAGCTAGCCCAATAAGAATGTGTGTCAGCTTGTTGGAGAACAGCTTGAAGCCAGCTTGCCAGGTGACCAGAAGGGCGGAGAGAGGAAGAGAGAAGGAACAGAGAGAGAAAGAGAGGGAGAGAGAGGGAGAGAAAGAGAGAGGAAAGAGAGAGAGAGGAGAGAGGAAGAAAGAAAAAGAGAAGGGGAGAGGAAAGAGAAAGAGAGGAAAGAGAAAAAGAGATAGAGAAAAAGAGATAGAGAGGAAAGAGGGAGATGAAAGAGAAAGAGGAAAGAAAGAGGGAATGGAAAGGGGGAGAGGAAAAGGGAGAGGAAGAGGAAAGAGAAAGGGAGAAAGAGAAAGGGAGAGGAGAGAGGGAGGGAGAGACAGACTCTTTTGACATCTAAAATGAAGATAACACTGCATATATCCTTTTTTATCTTTATGATACACACACACGCACACACACACACACACACACGAAGCTATGACACAGGTGCCAGAAACGGCACTCAGAGCGCTCTCTGTGGGTATGTGCACCGTTGCCCTAGTCCTAGGCCTTCAGCTGGGTTTTATAACACCTTTTCGCTTTAGGCCTCCGCCGTGTGCAAAAAAAAAGGTTCAATCAATCAGTCAATTTCAACTTCTTGCGAGAAAAAAAGAGATCTTGCAAAGTTGGAATTGATTGAACGTTTTAGTCCCACCCAGTCTGCTGTTACCACCGCAGCCACGCCCACCCAATGGACCATGCCCACCCAATGGGCCACACCCACCCGGCACCCGATCATGCGTAAGTAGATTTTGGGTTGCAGTTTGGGCACTCGGTCTCTAAAAGGTTCGCCATAACTGATATATGCCGGAACTCATACACGTCCTACAACCTGCCTTGCCTATCCTACAAGGTTCCATCCAAAAAAGGTGCCGGAACTCCATTCTGGGCGTTCTATGGCAAAAAAAGCCCTGTATATACATATAATAAAGGTAAAAAAGGATATATGCAGTATTATCTTCATTTTAGATATCAACAGGGTTTTGTGGCTCCCAGTGTTTTTGTTTTCGGTGGGAAACAGGTCCAAGTGGCTGTTTTCAGTGTTTTGGGTTGCCTATCCCTGGGCTAGGGTGTGTGTGTCAGGGAACACAAGAGGGACAGTGCATGTCAGGAAGGATGTGGGGGTGTGAGAGATGTCATGTCATTTGGGTGCACAAATGGTGCTGTTTGCATTGGGGAGGGTACACAAGTGAGTGAGGCACTGTACCGGTCAAGGAGGTTGCATGGGGTGCAGATAGATGTGCGAAGGGGGCATGACGTGGATCAGGGAGGATGTGTGAGGGTACAGGAGTGTTAGGTAAGTAAATATGTCTGAAAGGACGACACAACAGGTCATGGATTGTCTAGTATATGTTTTACTTATTTTATGAAAATATACAGTTCAGTATTTCAGAAAGTTCATTATGACTTAATACTATAAAGAAACCAAAGGAAAAGACTTGCATTCCAGTGCATGTTATTTGAAAATTATCTTTTTCCTTTTCTATTTTTCTTTAACTTTTCTTTTCTTGAATTTTTTTGCTTTATTTTTTCTTCCTTACCCTATATTTGTTAGTTTTTATCTTCTTGTTTAACAGTTTTAATAAAAATTATATGCCAAAAGATTGTTTTGAAGTTACACCTAGAGTAGAAATTCACTACAATGTGCTAAGATTCTTCTGTAAAAAATGTGATAGGATACAATATAAATATGTAGAAAAATATATGAACTTATAAGCAAGATCTTCTCCATCCCACTTCACTTATAAAAAGATACGTTTGTGGGATTTCTATTTTCTGAGAGTTGTATTAAAAAACTGTGCTGTTTAATGCCCTGAATAATTTTTCTGCACCTGTCATTTCAATCAACATTTCAAGTTGTTGTTTAGAAAAAGTCAGCTATAATCACTCTCCAATCTGAATTTAAGAGGTAAGATTAGTTGACAATTCAATGATATATACACGACAAGACTGTCTTTCAGCAGAAAAGTAGAATTCAGTATCAGTCTGAAAATATTTTAGTTGAATGTTGCTTTTCTTAGATAGTATTTACATTCTCTTTTAACACTTTCCTAATAATATTCTCATACAGAGCTAATAATTTTCTCTGAGAAAAATTGCACTGTATATTCAAAATGCATTACCTATGAAATAAAGTTGGCAGAGATTTTCAAATAAAATGAGTTATCTAAACATTCAGATTTAGTTCCCTTTATGCATCAGAATCAATTTTACAAGGATGCTATTCATCCCAGAACTTCTGTTTCTACATCTAAATGACCCAGTGAGAAAATCGTGAAGGTAACTATCCCTCCAACAAAAAGGTTGTACTTTGCATAATTGAGATATTTTCAAATGCCACAGCCCTGTCAGATGGAATCTCATATACCTATTTGTTGCATAATACATGCAGGTCACAAAAATACAACTCCAATTTTTGCTTAGAATGTCAAGATTTACAAATATTAAACTTACAAAATTATTTAATTTTAAAATGTATGACTATCCAAAGGAAATTGCCGAACAAGATAATTGTACTAATCTGATTCCCTGTCCCTCCAAGTAGGTCATTATACATAGTTAAGTGGCACCCTAGCACATAAAGCAATTATATATACATGACAGAATATATATTTCTTAGTCTACAAGAAATCCAATGGCTCCCTAGGACACACATCTACCAGAAGAAAACACACACAAACCGCTATCTGCACGCTCTCTCACACCACCACCCAGCACAGATCAACTCTGCAGCCAAGACACTCATCTCCAGAACAAAACACTTAGCTGACGAACAACACCTAAAAACCGAACTACACACTCTCACCAATGTACTAACATCCAATGGATTCCAAAGAAATAAGATTACAAACCTAATCCAAAAAGAAACCCCCACTAAAATCCAAGACGAAGAACAAGAAAACGGCAAAGCCCTCCTCCCATACATAAAAGGCACCACAGACAGAATCAGTAAGATACTCCATAAACACAACATCAAAACAGCATTCTGCACAAACAGAAAAATATCCACCATCCTTAGAAACCCCAAAGATAAAATTGAATTAGAAAATCAAGGAGTATACGAAATCCCATGCACCACTTGTCCCACCACATACATCGGACAAACCAACAGAAGAATAAGTGCACGCATTGAAGAACATAAGAACTCAGTCAAAAAGAGGAACCAACATCTTCCCTGGTCCAACACCTTAAAGCCACAGGACACGAAATTGACTTTAAAAATACCAGAACCATTGCCAAAAGTGAACATTTTAATAACAGAATAATCAGAGAAGCCATCGAGATAGAAAACGCCCACACAGCATGAACAAGCGAGATGATACCTCCCGCCTACCAGCCATTTGGAAACCCGCCCTTATTGACAAACGACTCCCTAACACAAAAAATGATACCAGACCCACACTCACAAAAAACACAGCCACGCCCCTAACTAATCAGAACACACCTCCACCCAATCAGAACACAGCCAAGCTCCCACAGCCACGCCCCTAACCAATCAGAACACACCTCCACCCAATCAGAACACAGCCAAGCTCCCACCCAATCAGTTCATACCCCCACTGGCAGTTAACAGGAAGAAACAGCTAAGACCACACATTGCTCCTCGAAGCACGAAGCTGAAAGCACCAGCCTGAAGATGACGAATGGGACTTCGTCGAAACGTCGCCAAGACACTTCCAATTTTACGCGGGAGAAAACCCGAACAACCAAAGACCTACATATATATATGTATACACTCTGAGGTTTTCGCGGGTGTTTGTATGTAGGTCTTTGGTTATTCGGGTTTTCTCCTGCATAAAATTGGAAGTGTCTTGGCAACGTTTCGACGAAGTCCCATTCATCATCTTCAGACTGGTGTCTTTGTCGAAACGTCGCCATGACACTTCCAATTTTACACGGGAGAAAACCCGAATAACCAAAGACCTACATACATACATACATACATACATACATACATACATACATACATGGATCTCTGAAAGACTGCATTTCATATAACTGAATTAAGGCAATGATACCTGTTTACACCTTATTCATATTTAGGAAAATATCTCAATGACAGAAATACAAATATTTTGAATTTAAAACAAAAAAAAATACTAATTTTATGTTATTTTAGAATAGGATCATCAACAGTGCACATGGTTTAACTGCATTGTTAGACAGTTTTCCATCTTACAATAGATAAAACTTTGCCTCAGTTCACAATATACATAGTAGATTTTAGTTACTAATTTTACAAGAAAAATATAAAATAATGGTAATAAATATTTTAAAATGGTAAAAAAAATCTTCTTAGTAAAATTAAAGTCATTCTAAGTATTCCAATTCATAATTTTGTCATATTCCTGAATTCTTTGTTTTATGTGAGAAAGTTTGTTCTTTAGATATTCACACCGTTCTTTCTTCTCCTGAAATGTGGGATCCTGAAATACAAATGATTCAGTAGGTAAATTTTGAAATGTTTTATCACTTTGTGTTAGCTGGATAAATCATAAAATATATGAACTTCATTTTCTTATGTCTTTTATTTGCATAGAGATAGTCCTCAACTTACAACCACAGTTGAGCCCAAAATTTATGTTGCTAAATGAGACAGTTGTTAAGTGAATTATGCCCCATTTTGTGCCTTTTCTTGCAACAATTGTTCAGTAAATCACTGCAGTTGTTAGGTTAGTAACATAGTTGTTAAATGGATCTGGCTTCCCAAATGTCTTTGCCTGTTGGAAATTCTCAAAAAGTGATTGCATGACTCTAGAACATGCTACACATGAACCAGTTGCCAAGCATTCAAATTTTGATCACATGACCATGGGGATGTTACAACAGTCATAAGTATGAAAAAAAGGAAATGTCATTTTTTTCCCAGTGTCACTGTAATTTCGAACAGTCACTAAGTGAATGGCTGTAAGTTGAGGACTACCTCCATTTGTAATGTTGTAAGCAATACATTTAACTGATGAAATTAGTATTTCTATATCCTGAATAAAAGATGAAAGAAAAATAAAACTTAAGGAAAACTTTGTTCTGAAGGATAATTTGTTTTAGCAATTTATCCTTAATAGTTCTTTCTTACCACCTGTGAAAAACTCAGCTGTAAAGAAGCAATTTTAGGGCAGCATATCTGACCTGTCTGAACTATGAAGTAAACCTTTACTGATTTTCAGAGTTATATATGGGGAATTGCTTTCCTATTTCTTTACTATTTCCTATTTGCTGTTATTACACGAGATGATGGAATACTTTGGACTATACATTCTTATTTGGCAAACAATTTCCACTATAAAGACTGCCTACAACACATGAAATAGATGTCCCATACCTAGTTATAAAAAACAAAAAACTATTTTTAATGTTTGATTTTAAAGTCTTCAACTTAACACATTATCAAGCGAATATGGATGAAGATCAGGAAAAAATCCTTTCTATGTTGAAATCAATACATGAAACCATTATTTCAGCTTGTGACAAAATAAGATGCAACATAAAGGAACGAGATGCCAGCTTAGATATAGAAACCCAGATCTTGACTACAACCAAAGAACTAATAATGCAGAAAGTAACAGAAGAAGTGGAACAACTAAATACTAAGACAGAGGACCCAATTGACCAACAGATCCAGCCAACAGAAAAATCAGAAAAGGGAGTGACAACATTGAAAATGAAAAAGACTTTTTACATAAATCAGAAGAAATTTGAAGAAAAGGAAGAAGAACAGACTGAATGGAAGATAAATCTATCAGGACAATTGTGGGAAATTTGAGTAACAGGGAGACGATTAAATGAATACAAATGGGCTAGTTCTTCCCAAAAAACTGTAACCAAATGGTTTTTCTTATTCCAAATACATATAATAATAGAGGGAGAACTGTTTAAGGATTTAAATCTACTGACATGGAAGGTTAGTTGGCAAAGGAAGAAAACCAGAGTAAGGCTAAAAGAATAACAGGGCATTGATTGTATATAAGGATTGAATGCAAACACAATTAAAATATGTATAAGCTAAACATTATTAATAAATGTAACAAAGATGGTTTTTACTTAGTTGATAATAATAATAACTATATTAGCCTAATATGAGATAGTAAATATTAAGGGAAAAAGAGAGGAAATATTTGATGTTGCAACTTGAGATTTGTGCCAAAGATTTATGTATGTTATTGAATTATTGATTACCCAGTCACCACGTTGCTTTTTAAATGTTTAAATGTTTAATTGTAAAATTAGAAAACTAATAAAATATTATTTAAAAAAAAGAAGCAAAGGGACTGAGAGTAGACTGATCTGTTGCAATAACAATGTAGAGAGCAACTGTTCTTCCTGATGAGAAGCAAGGAGTTCCTAGCATGTAGGATGCACATTTGGTAGAAAGAGTCATAAGGTTTGCATGTGGGGTGTATATATCCATGCATCTCTGTATACACTCACATAGACACACACTGAGCTTTAATCTTATAGTCTGTCATTTCTTTGCAATAATGGCTCTTTTAATATCAGCAAACTTGTGTAAATCCTAAAAGCTCATGGGTCCAGGGCATCCCTGGTGTGTTATTATTGCTCTGGACATCAAAGTCACTGACAGCAATGAATACATAAATAAGACAATACTCACATTCTTTTTCTTTTTATACTGTTGGAGAACACTGGCAATTCTATCATGTTCCTAATAAGAAAAAATGTAAAATATTAATACATATTTCATTTACTTTTTAAATTTATAATGTTTTATATAACTCTTTTATTTTCTATTTTGTACTGTGTTTTGTTCTATTAATGTTTAACTATTTCTGACACCATAATGACTATGAGCAGTTGTTGTTGTTGTTGTTAATTGCGAAGTCGTGTCCGACCCATCGCGACCCCATGGACAATGTTCCTCCAGGTCTTCCTGTCCTCTACCATCTTCTGGAGTCCATTTAAGTTCACACCTACTGCTTCAGTGACTCATGAGCAGTACACATTATAAACAATCAAAAACTTTATAACCAACAAAAAAGAATAATGGATCCCCAGAAAAAGCAATATAACCTTTCCTCCTTTTTTTCCCAGAACGACTGCAATTCGTTCCTTAACTTGGAAGTAAAATTGTCATTAGAGACTGTGAAAATTATTGGTTGCTGTCTCATTTAATTAATGTTCTCTCATAACAATCACACCAGCCTTTACTCTTATTCCAGCGTGCATGGTTTGTTTGTAAGTGCTTTCCAACACTGGTTGGAAAATGATTTTTTTAAAAAATTACCGTCGTATTCATGAAAAGTTGTTAAACAAGATAGCCACTTGAAGAGGAGTACAGTAATAACTCTCAATGCCACATGTGTTCTAGTCGAACACTTAACTTGTTCATAGTAAAGGTTGAATATCACCATAAAGAGATCACTTGCTTTGCAACTTTGGTAAGAATTGCATAACCACTGAGTTCTGTCAGAAGCTGTTGTCTCTGACAGATGCATCTACATCACAAACACCAAGAAAGTAGACCACGCATATAGTGATTACTAGCTCCAATCATTTCACTATTAGATAACAGTGTAAAGTTATGTAACAGTAACCAAGACCTTCTTGGAATGGAACTTAGTAAGAAACATAAAATATGTAATGACTTCCAAAAATGAAGGGATTATCATGATTAGACTACTGATCAGATAACTTATCTTTCGATATCTACTACTAAATATAAACTTTAAATCCATACTTACAAGAGTGTTTCCAGTATGCTGAGGAAGCTTCCTCATAAGTGCATCTAGCTCATCAAACTTCTTCAAAATTGCCTGAACTTCAGAAGACAGCTCTTTATATTCAGAAAACTGATCATTAAATACAGCTTTATAACGGTCTCTTTCCTCATTTGTCCGAATTGCTGGGTATTTTCTATAAACAATAAGCTTTCGATCAGTGGCATGTCAACATTTCAGTAAACTGTAAATGTGTGTATTATAGAATATGGAAAATTTAACTTTAAAATGTGTAACATTTAAAATGTTAACATATACAGATTATTAAAAATTCCATCAATAAGGACTAGAATCATTGTTTCCCTTGGCATACAATATTTGGATTGCAAAAATCAGGACAATACTTATCTGGAAATCATTTGGTGGAATGGACTGGATCAGATATTTTAAACATTTCAATAAGTTAATGAGTTTACATATCACATGATTAAAGTATGATTTGACAAAGTGACCATTGGTTAAACCCTAAGATATTTAAAATGTAATAGCTGAGTTCACATAAAGACTAAGCCAAATCTAAACAAGCCACATTACAGTTTAATATGTGTGACTCCAATATATGATTTCCAAAAGCTTAATAAAAATTAAAATTCAAAATCAAATGTACCTTTCTATTTTTTAAAAAATAGGAAGACTTCTTTCAAGCTGTGACATTACAGCTTAAGCAGCAAACCTTTTAGGAGGAGAGCCAGTTTGGTCTAGTGGTTAAAGCACCAGGCTAGAAACTAGGAGACGGTGAGTTCTACTCCTGTCTCAGCCATGAAAATCAGCTGGGTGACTTTGGACCAGTCACTCACTCTCAGCCCAACTCACCTCACAGGGTTGTTGTTGTGGAGAAAATAGCAGAAAGAACACGTGTTGCCACTTTTGAGTTATTTGTAAAAATAACTCAAAAATAAGTAAATATGAATAACAGAATAACCGTTACAGCTTAGTAAACTACATTGTTGGGTTTATATATTGCATTTTTAAATCTTATAATGTGTCTTATTTTTAGTTTATTATAGAAATCAAACCAGTGCTGTTTGTAAATTGTGGTTTAGGGTTTAACATACTGATCTTAAATGCTCTTTTGCATGCTAAAAATACATATACTTACGCTAAGTAATCTGGCATCACTATTGGTTTAGGAATATGTCCTGCTGGTATATAGCCATTAAGTACTTCAGGCTTCATTTCTGCACTCTTCGGTGTCTTTATTGCTACCTTGGACATGTCATTTTCATGATCTTCATACTACGTAAAAAGAATTTTTAAAAGTTTTATTTTTTGCTCAAGTTTGCATTAAATAACTAAAAGTACAATTCCAACCTCTAGTGCTAGTTTGTTGAAATAAACAATTGTGTTAGATACTCTCTAAATTCATTTGGACAAGAAGTTTTACAGGCAAAATATTACCACTGGCATCTTGTATAGAATGTTGTTACAGAGGCTTAAGGTACTACCCACTGTCCTACCCCAAATAACCCCATTTGAAGGGCTTGGGAAACAAATTGTACTTTAATTTTTGAAAACTTTCACGTTGCCTCTTAGAACTCATAAAAAGAGGAAACCTTTCCTGCCTTTCCATTGGGTTTTGTAGGTAGCAATAACTACAAGATACTGCTGTAAAAGTTCAACATCAGGGAGGGAAATAAGGTGGTATTGATACTAGAACAGGGTTTTTCAACCAGGGGTATGGGTACCACCTGTGGTACATTGGCACCTGGCAGGTGGTACGCGACCATCCTAGAAAAATGGTAGCAGGGGAAGGGAATGAGTTGAACCAGTGGCAGCACTGCACAAGCCTGAGCGAGAGATAGCTGGAGCTGCAGGGCTGTCAGGGCTCAGCGGAAACGCCAGGATCAGTGCTTCTTCATGACTGTCAGAGCTCAGTGGAAGCGCCAGGATCAGCACCAGGCTCCAGCTGGAGCTCGGCACTGATCCTGGTGCTTCTGTTGAGCCCAGAAGAAGTGCCAATCAGCTGGAATGTTGCAACATCTCCAGGGTCTTGTGATTTACATTCAGATGCTTGGCAACTGATTCATATTTATGACGGTCACAGTGTCCCAGGGTCATGTGAAGTGACCAAAACCTGCTGCAACCACCTAGCAGACGGGGGTAATAAAAACCAAACACCCCCCCTACCTCCGCTGCCAATCCTCAACGGAAATGCTGACAACAATGAAAATCTCGGACAGGAGGAAGAGTGCAGCCGCGCAGGCAGGTGTCTTGTTCGGCTGTGCCTTGTGAGGCACTTTTTTCAGTGCCATTGTAACTTTGAACAGTCACTAAGCGAACTGTTGTAAGTCGAGAACTACCTGTACTTTATCACTTTTTTCCTTTTTTTTTTTTTTTGGTTATCAAGTTTTTGACACCTTGCTAGGCGACTGGTGGTACTCGGATGTTGCCATATCCTAAAAGTGGTACAATGGGTGAACAGGTTGAAAAGCCCTGTTCAACATTTGTGAATTTTCACTAAATAGATTTTTTTTTTTGTAAGAATTAATATTTTTTCATATCTTTTTGAAGCAAACACTTTTGTGAGGCAACTCAAATTCAGTAACTACAAAACAAACAGAACATATGTCCTTCTGATTCTTACCATTCTTTTTGGGCCAAATGATTGTGACTTCATCTAATAAAAGAAACAGAAATAACAGTATTAAATGTATACATTCAGACTATAACTGCTGATAATGCTATTATGCAAATTCATTTCACTTTATATTGACATAATATATATTGTAGTGGTGTATTTGCCTTTTTTAAACCTGTGCAGAGAATTGGTATGAAAGCAAATTCTCTTCCAAAAACAGATAGTATTTTGGTTTGCCAACAGAAAAATATTTTTATTTAGGCAGACTTTTGAAATGTTAACTGTTTTCTTCCCATTTTATTATTAAATTTATTTGCTACCCATCTCGAGGTTCAAGGCAATCCTGAGTGGTTTTATTGTTGTTTTAATGCATATTTTGTTTTAACTGCAAACTTTCTATTTTTTATTTTTATTATCCAGTGCTGCTGTATTCAATGGCTGATAGAATAAGGAGTGATTTCCACAAAGCTTTACCTACACAGGAAATAAGGAACTTGACATAATTAAATGCTTGTACACGGAAATTAAAATAGTTGAAAATTTTTTGATAGCAAGCTTGTAGATATCACTTTCTAAAACTAGAGAGCAATTAAAAAAAAAAGTTGTGAGACACTACATTAAGATTGACATAGTATAATCAATACACATGGCTTATATTTATAGCTCTATTTTAAAATGTTCCTTTTAAAGCTTAGTTTCAATTACAACTCTTGGTTAAGACCGCATATATAAAGCAACAATGGCAAGTTTACTAGTAAAATCAAGTTAATTATCTACTTGGTTCTGAAGATACTTATTATATTTTGCTTTCTTTTATCAATGCAGAGAATTGAATATATTTTAGTTTGCAGATTACCCTAAAATTTGAAGGACTGTTATGCGAAGAAAAAATTACAGAGGAAATCTTTTCTGCCTTTTCCTAAATCCAAGGATTGCAAAAAATAGGTTTTTACCCCTTTATTGAAATTTCTTTAGGGATCTGCAGTGATTGAAAATGTTCTTTAACTTTCCAAAAGCTCTATTTCTCCCTAGCTGTCTTTGATACATTTTTTCTGAATTTTAAGAGAAAAAAAATAAAGGAAAGAACCTTTATGGAAGCAATATACTCAGTGGTGGGATTCAGCCAGTTCACACCACTTCGGCAGAATCGGTAGCTAATTTTTTGTTGCCCAGGCCCAGAATGGACTTCTGGAAGCGGCATGCACACAGAGAACCGGATGTTCACATATTTGAATCTCACCACTGGATATACTCCATCATTCATTTAGAAACATATCTAGAAGCACAGCTTGGTGGCTGTACTTGAAACTTACCCGCTCCTCCATGAACTCTCTGTGTCTGCGCGCAGTTTCATGTCTCCATAATTTTAGGCAAACTATTGCACCGATGAGATATATAATCATTGTTACAAACAAAAAAATAATTCCTGCTGTCTGTCCCCCTTCTATACGACACAAAGCAGCATTCATTGGTGTGTTAAATAAATTATAGGAGCAAAGTCCTCCTCTGTTTGTGTCATTTACATAGACAATAGCGGCTGACATATATAAAATAAACAAAGCCACATTGATTCCAAATTCTGTTAAAGGCCACCAGTGGGAATCCAGAAGAATAGTTCTGTAATACATTGACATACCAAGTACTAGAATTATGATAGTCACTATCCAAACAAGTGCTGCTACAACAAGAACAAAAGGAGTTTTGGGTCCACTGTAATAATAACCACCATACATGCTGCTTGCACCATAGCCATATGGTTGTGAAAAGCCATACATGTTGTACCACTCATTGTCTTTGTGAATGTAAGCTGTGACACAAGCAAATACAGCTGCACCTAAGAGCAGTTCAACAACAGCCAAGATTCTAAGCAATCCTGCCCAAGATTTCATGTAGGAATATCTGAGGTTAAAAGCTTCTACTTTCTCACTGTATGTCAAAGCCTGGGTGTGCCTTCCCAGAGAGCCATATGGATCCGGGGGGAGAATACCTTCAGCTTCTTTTTGTGAAGTGTAAGTGCCTCCTGATCCTCCATATGGATCTTGATAAGAACTTGGTGTTGAAATATGGTCTGCTTTCACTGGAGTAAGTGTTGGAGATGATGGTGGAGAGCATTGAATTCCATCTGAAATGGCAGATACTTGCTTATTCCATTCTGGATCACCTCGTTTTCCTCTGAAGAAGTTTTTCCATGAATCAGGAATGAATTTTCTCACTGGTTTGATATCAGGGATTTCAGTTGAGTCTTCATTGTCACTTGGATAAAATTCAGGTCCAAATGGTGGCTGCAATGGAAGAGGTGGTGGCAAAGGTTCTGAATTTAATATCTCATCAGCATCTTCTGGTGAAGAAGAATCCACATATACTTTATCATAATGGACAGAACGACTCTGCTGTGCATTTTTGTGCTCCAGTGATGTATTCCTTGAAGACATTTGTGACCTCTCCCGTTTCAGAAAAAAACCTGAAAATTAGGGCAAATAGATCAATGAAGCCTTAAAAAAGGAAAGCCAACTAAATTTCTGCACTCAGAGCCAGGAAAAAAATCTAACATGCAATCATTTGAGCTATAAATCCTCTTCCATATTAAGGCAGTTCAGAACTGCCAAGTCATTTGGATTGCTTTAAATTTGACACTGGGTTTATAATAATTTAATGCTTGAACCTCTTCAGAGTCTGTGAAACCACAACAGTAAAGATGTCAATGCCTAAGTAAAAAACATTAAACTTGCCTCATGTGCAAGTTCAAAGTCCAGACTGCTACACTGTGATGCCTGGATAGTTTTTCCAGAGGAAAAAACAACACAATGGTCATAATTTAAATAGAAATGAAAACAATGTCAGCTAGTACTAATATCTCAAACCTTTCTGGGATATTCCCTATTTCAGTGGTTTTCAATGTGGGCTATATATCACCCTCCCAGAAGTCATGCCGTATTTCTAAAGGATCACCCTTTTTATGATACAGTTTAGATTAATAAACTGCGTGGATAGAAAACCAAACTGAATCTCCCCCCCCCCCCCAGCTAACGACCGGATCAACTAGCAACTCTGGGGGGTTTAGAGAGGTAAAAAAGCAAAAATGATTTGAGAAACCCTGCCCTTATCCACAGGTTGTTGAACAAACTTTGTGCTGTCCAGAGAGAAGGAAGGGGGAAAGACGAGAGATATCCCATACATAGCTACTAGCTTCCGGCGTTAAAGTACACATTTAAATCCACAATCTTAAGACCCGCTTACCTCTGAATATATTCCATTAAATTTAGCGGGCCTTACTTCCAAGGAAATATCCACCGGATTTCACCAGAAGCATCTGCGAAACACGAATTCCCACCCAATTCCGCATTGCTTCTCATTTCCCCGTCCTTTGGTCCGTACAAATCGCGCAACTTGCACGTATTCCCGCTACCACACCTTGCACCCGCTCCGCCCTCACCCAAAGCCCCGAGCGGGATAGAAAGCGGCGCCTTTCTGCTGCTCCCCCGCCAGCTCTGAGGCTGGGACCGCTCCCCACCCGCCCGCCCCTCCGAGAATAAAATCGCCACTCACTCTTTCAGACAAAAGGGCGGGCAGAATTATCCCGCTAGAAGCCACAAAGGCCAGAAGAACAATCCCGCTTCCGTCTCTTTCCCGGAGGCGTTACTTTCGGGGGCGTCTCAGCCGCAAGGAATCGTTCCGCCCATCTGGTCATGCGCGAAGTCCTTCTGGCTGCAACACTGCTCTCCTACCTGCGTCTCTCGCTTCAGGTAGGCCAGCGTAGGACGATAGGTGGGTTGCTCCCGCTTTCTCTGCTGCACCGTTGCATCCTCCCGTCCTCTCCAGATCGTAATTGGTTTTATGATTCCGACTCTTGCATTTCTGTTTCAAAGGACGTCGTCAAAGTTTCAAAAGAAAAAAAAACCTGGACTGTTAGGGCAGAACAGCTTGCTGGGTAAATGTGGATAAAGACTTGGGTTACTATAGCCAAAAATAATTAGAAGTTGGTAAGAAATGCGAAGTGGAATAGGACCAGGTAGGCAGAATAATCTCATCCAAGTGTCTCCAACTTTGTTGAAGTTTATTTAAATGGTTGCCATTGCAGAACCAGCTGGTGTAGGAAACAGGGTTCCTTTTTATTTTAATTAGACATTTTAAAGAAAGAATATAAAACACATTTTTAAAAAGAACAAGAAAGTTCTAAGTAAACCGAGAAAATGTCACAGAGATTATTTTCCAACTTATCGTTAATTATTTATGAATATCTGCATTATATCTCTTTAAAAGACTAAAAATTATTATCATGTTTTGAACCAAGCAAAGCTGTTTTGATGCTAATTATTGGTACAAAGCAGTAAATGTCACAAAAAAAGTAGGACATTTTTCTATCAGTGTCAAATAAGGTAGGCTGGCTTTACTTGACTCTTTAAAAGAGGTGTCTTCAGTGTCTTTAGATATAAATTTATTATCAATGATTGCTTCATCTCATGTCATCTATATATATATGAGACATGGGATAGAGAAATCATTGATTATAAATTAAGAGATGAAAACTTACTAAAATTATTTATACATGTGATGAAATTGGAAGTCACTTCTTTATACTGTATGTTTATTTTCTATTTCTTTACTATTCTTCCTCCCTCCCATTCCCTTCTTTCTTTATTAGACTTATAATCTAATACATTATATTATTTTTACTATTGCAATTCTAATATTTAATCAAATTATTAAAATCAGTAAAAAGATTTGAAAATAAAGTTCAAGAGTTAACTTTACAAAATATTAAAAATTCTCATGTTATTCCCCTAGATCAGTTTTAATACTTTTCAAGATAGAATTGTCCGAAACATATGTAAGCATTTTTGTTTCAGAAACTATAATGATACAATTTACTAATAAGGCATCCAGAGACTTATTTACATATTAAATATTACACAGCCCAGGTTAAACGTTTTGTGCAATGTTTCATCATCGCAAGTTAGATCTAAACTTGTGAAACAATAACAAAATATTTGACAATGCCTTCAGTATCTACAAGATAAATACAAGTATAAAATATCAAAGTAAATATATTTCTTCTCATTTATTTTCATTCTTCTGTATGGATGAGAAGCGAAACCTTGAGTTTTAACTGAAGCTTTTCAGTACAAGCTCAAAACTATAAATACTCTGTACTCATTTTCCTCCAAATTGTTATTCATGACAAATATTAACAGCTTGCAGAAATAACAAAGTTATTTCTATCTTTCCTGTACATTTGAATATAAAATATGAAACAAAAGTAAAATTATAATTTAAATATTAACACAGCTTTGGAATTGCTTTTTATGTTATTCACTATCATATTCTTCTATATTTAGGTCATCTGTTTCCATTATTGCTTGTGCTGCAACTGGCTGAGGTTGACTAGCTGGTAGTTCATTTCCATTACACTGACTAGAAGTAGGGAAGAATTCATCCAGTTCATTTTCCTCACTGTTTTTTATTTTCTCTCCCTGGGTATGCAGAATTGTAGGCTGCTTCTCGGAAAATTCCTCTTCATCATCATTGTCCAGGATTTGTATTGCAGAATCCTTATCCGTAAGAGTTTCAAGTTTCAACCTGCGAACAGCAATACAATATCAGAAATGTATTCTTCTCTGAAGTGAACTAAGACACTCAACTCTCTCATAATAATTTCTTTATCATGCTGGATGTTTGGGAAAAAAAGGCGCTACTTAATGCTCAGACAATTCATGTTATTAGGGTTCTAGCAACTACCTCTTACAAGCTGTATTCCTCAGGGGAGAACAGTAGAGTAAGACAGAGTGGTGAGAAAATTACAACCTTGGTATTGTTCTGCTGTGTATACTTCTCTGTGTAAATAAATGGAAGTCAAGCGTTATTAGCATATTTTCCTCCTTCTGCCTGGAAAGTTGGTTGTCAATCAGTTCAATCACTTGTGTCTGCCAGCATCTTGCAACATTGAATGGCAGAATCTTCTAAACTTCAACCATCTTTACATTCCTAGCCAGTGTAAGGGAGGTTGATATTTCTTATTCTACTTCCTTTAAAAAAAATCTAGAGAAAAAAAATCTTCCCCATTGGGCCCATCTATGTCAGTATCAGTGTATAGTTTGCAAGAGAGGTATCCATTGCCTTACTTATTTTCCACTGCATGGATCCATATGTGACTCCATTTAACTGAAGTGTGTAGTGCAAATCAGACCACAGGAAATAAATTCAAAAGTGATGTTTTTTAAGTAAGATCAGATGAGTCTTTTCTATGTAAAGACAGATCCCAGAAGAAGATGGAGAAAATGAATGCTTTATACATTTAAGTTATAGCAGCATACAGTTTAAACAGATGGATAGTTTTCACTTTAAGAATCAATATTAGGGGCCATTTTGATCTTTATTTACTTGAGAGTTGAAGAATGACCGCAGGTGGCTGGATTCAATAAAACATTATGAATAATATCAAGGTTACCTTCCAAAGTGATTTCTCAAAGGAAGTTTCCCAACATCCTGAATAAAGGTAATCTGAGCTGAAAAAGCACACAAAAAAATTATTCCTAAAAGTAATTTCAATCTATATGTAAAATGCACTTTATAGCTATTTTTAAATAAAAAACCATTTCTGTTCCAGTTTGACTGGACAATACGATAATATATCACAAAAACTGATTTAGACTTTAAAATATAAATCCTTTTGGAATACATAAAGGGCTTCACAAGAGCATTAATTCATATTTTTAAAAAACAATTACTGTATATTCTGGCGTATAGGGCGACCCGGCATATAAGACGACACCCAAGTTCGACACCGAGTCGCAAGATGATCGACGCTGAGTCACAAGACGATCAATGCCGAGCCGCATGCCTAGAAAGTCGTCTTATACGCCGGAAACTACGTTATTTCCAGCGTATAAGACAATCGACACTAAGTCGCATGCCTAGAAAATCGTCTTATACGCTGGAAACTACCTTATTTCTGGCGTATAAGATGACTTGGCGTATAATACGACCCTCGAGTTCGGCGCCTGTTTCAACACTCTCAAAAGTCGTCTTATACGACAGAATATACGGTATTTCTAAACAAAACATACCATCAAGTTGTTGTCCATATTAGTAGTATATGTTTAGAAAACAACCTAATACAGTGATGGCGAACCTTTTAGAGACCGGGTGCCCAAAAACTGGCCCCGCCCCCACTCCACCCCCTGCCCCTGCTCCGCCCTGCCTGCCTGCAGAGCCATTCACCGCTTCCAAGGCCCACCGCAGATCACCCAAGCAGCCCAGCAGCGCCATGGCAGCTACACCCACTGCCCACGCCCCGCAGCATAAAACTGCACCTTGGGGCGTGAGGACAGAGTCTTGTCTATGCTGCCAGGCTGCCATGTCCTTGGCTGCACTGTTCCGCGTGGGCCACGCTCAGGGGCGACTCTCCTCCAGGGAGGCTGCTGGTAAGGAGGGTCGTGGGCGGAGGCAAGGCTGGGGCACTGGCACGTGTGCCCACAGAGTGGGCTCTGACTGCCGCTTCTGGCACCCGTGCCATAGGTTCGCCACCACTGATCTAATATATGTGTTATTTCAAGGAAAGTTGCAAAGTAACATTTACAAAGTAATTATGTACGTATCAATGTCTTAATAGAGTACCACTGAGATCAGTTTGTTTTACTCTCTCAAGTAAGTTGATTTAGCATTGAAATCTAAAGCTTTCTTTTCCCAAACTGTACTTAGTTATTCCTGCTGGGATTTAAGCCAATCCCACCCCCACACACAAGGAGTGGAAAGGGCTTAGGCAGCTGCAGGAAGCAAAAAAGCTATTTTCTTCTGGCAGCAAGCTCTCAAACAGCCTATAGAGTGCGGGGAGCTATTGCTGGTAAAGGAAACTGGGCAGCAGTTTTTTTGTATTTTTAAAATTCAGATAAGATCATAGCGGATACATTCAGTTAAAAATGTTAATAACTGAGAATATAACACTGTACGTCACTTCTCTCTAGGCATTTAATACATTCAGTGCCATCTCCTCTTTCTTCCTCTAGAAAGAAAAGCAGGAAATATAAATGAGTATCTTTTTTTTCTTGTAGGGTAAACATTCTGCATAAAATATACTAGTTTTTTTCCCAAACAACTGTAAGAGGTGAGATAAGTTTGTTAGGTAAAATTGATTTGCCAGACTTCAAGGCTGAGCTGGGTATGAGATCCAAATTCTAACTGCTGTACATACTGCTAAGACTATACAATCCAAAACAGTTCATATTTTCTGACATATTGAAAATGCTGTTGATAAACTTTTTAACTACTATGATGAATTACACAAGCAATAATAGAAGCAATCCAGCTTACATGGAATATATATTACTTAAAATTCTGGCTACTGTGATCAAGCAGAACAGTGTATAGTGCTCACTTGTTTTTCCCACCAACAGAAACATGTGAACAATGCAGAAGTTTTGGCATTACATGAAAGTCAAATCCTTGGACTGTTGCTCCCAAATATGCCAGGAACGTAAAACAACGAATATTTCAGACATTTGTATTGGTTAGTCCTTTTTTAAAAAAAAAAATTGCTTAAATGTGTATGGGATTTTGGGGAGTTTAATATGTTTATATTGTTAGCAGCCTACAGAGTGCAGGAATGTACAACATACAACATTAATATAAAATATTTGATACACCCCATTTATGAAATTACATTGAATATTTGATACACCCCCATTTATGAAATTACATTGAATAATATTCTGTTCTATGACTGTTCTTCTAAAGCAGTGGCTCTCAACCTTTTTAATGCCGCGACCCCAACCGGTCGTAAGTCGAGGACTACTTAACCGGTCGTAAGTCGAGAACTACTCAACTGGTGCAGCACCGTTCGCAGAATGGGACTTTTGGCGGGCTCAGCAGGGCAGAGACAGCCTGGACAATTCCTATTGGCTTTTGAAAGCCAATAGAATTAGACTCTATTCAAGAGAGCCTATTCTATTGGCTTTCAAAAGCCAATACAATAAAACGGAGTAGCACAGCTAAGGAAAAGGGGAAAAAAATAGCGCCTACGTTGTTTGGCGACCCCCGTGAAATGGTTGTTTGACCCCAAATGGGGTCCCGACCCACAGGTTGAGAACCACTGTTCTAAAGCATAAACAGAAATATGAAACATTTTTAATAAGTTTAAATATACCTTGATTTCTCATTGGATTAGTCAGCATGGTAAGATAAGGTATCAGCTCAGTCTGAAGACACAATGGTGCTAAACAGAAACTCGAAAAGAGGGATTTTGCAGCATAGCAGTTTTCTTGATACTATAAGGAATCAGGAAACATAAATTTAATATGCAAAAGCACTTTTTCATTTTATCCATTAAGCTACAAAATGTCCATTTTCTTTCATACACACACACACACACACACACACACACACACACACATTTTTTGTGTGTATGTGTGTGCGTGTGTGTATGTAGGTCTTTGGTTATTCGGGTTTTCTCCCGCGTAAAATTGGATATATATATGTGTGTGTGTGTGTGTGTGTGTACATATTCAAAATTTCGTGGCTGGCAAAGAGTTAGTGGGAGACTAGTATAGCAAAACGCAGAATAGACTGATTTATATTTGGTGCCTCACCCAACAGATAATATTTCAGTGTTATTCAGTGTTATTCTATTAAACTGGTCTGTAAAATTGCTTCTGCATGATCTAATAAATACCTAATTAATTGCAAGATCCTAAATTTTCAAATTATTTTTTTCTGTCTGACATTACTGATTAGTTTTCCATATTTTACTTAAATCGGGCATTCCAACTTTGATAAAACTCATTTTTATCTAAAGGTATTACAATATAAATGATGTTTAAGATCGTTTTAATGTTTCAGAGGATGCTGTAATGGATATATTTCTCAAATCAAAAAATGATTCATCCATAAATATATTTTCTCTAAAATGGTTTTTGTAGTCAAGTGAGTGCTACATTTTACTGACTCATTTAAAATACCTTATTTTTCTAGTAAAAGCAGGGCTGTTTCTAACTGAAGCCTAAATCTTTATATGAATCCTAATCTTGTAATAACGTTCATCACAAATACAAAAGTTAAGTTAATGTTACTTCACTGTGGACTCTGCCATGAGATAGCAATACTAAAAAAAATAGATTCTTACTTGATTCTGTTTTAGACTGATGCAAATAACATTAATAATTGAGAAAAAGTAAATTGTTATCAATTACCTTTCTATTAATTAGGATCCATTGCGGTTTATGAAAAGGTCTAAAGCCCATTCCTCCTTTGCATTGTGCAAGAGCTCTGGCTCGGTTTGAGTGCATCACACCTCTTGTGGCTACAGAGGCACTGTACTTTTGAAGTGTAGCTCGTGCCTATAGGAATTGGCAGAATTAAAATATGGTATAAGATTTCCACAATAGACTTAAAAGCAAGGTCCAGAGGTCCCGATGTAAATTACTAGTATGTTACAAGTATATATTAATTCTTGTCGAAATATAAAATTGTACAACCCACAAAGCGGTCAAAACCTTAGTTCCATAAATATGCTTGATTATAGAAACATCAAGTTTTCTTCCCATTTGAATACAATCCAAATCTATTATTAAAAAAAATTGTTCTGTTAATCTAAAAAGCAAACTTATATTTTGTCATTAAAAACAGCGTAAGGTCCAATAGCAGCATTCCTCAAGGTGCTCAATTTCATTGCAGGACTATCTGTAAATTTGCCCAGATTATTAGTATTGACAGATTGCACCATCTTCTCCTAGGGGCTAGAGACCACTCAAGAATTCATGATTACCATGAAATCATGGGTGGGTCCAAGATCGTTCCCAGGCCACAATACTTATGGCTAGCCATGTATTAGATCTAGTGTTCATTCTGGAACAGATGTATTATGATCTAATTCCAGAGAAATTTTACATTAGGATCCAATCTGGGTCAGTCAGTCATCAGGATCAATGGTTTAGTCTTCTGAGCTTTTGGACTCATGCTGGAGCCATCCTCAGGGAACTTCTCTCTCATTAGAATGTATCTTACATCAGTCCACTATGAGGGTCAGATCACTTTCCCATAATTGTAGGTTTGACTGAGGCACCAACCATTCAGAGATGAGGAACCTATTAAGATTATCTGCCCCAAATATCTGATGAATCCAGTGACTTTTCTCATGGAGGTTGGGAGTTTCCCTGAAATCTGGAGAATGCTCCTCCATGGCATTTATTGACTATTGGAATACAGGGGCAACCAGAAACTTGAAAGGATCATGCAGAGCAGCTTCTATTTCTACCCATAGAATCCCATGAAATTCTTTACTTACTGAAGATTTTCATGAAGCAACTAGGGCAAAGAGATGCCTAGAGGGATATGGGCTGAAACAAGAAGCAAATGCAATTGGAGAAAATAAGAGCCCATGTCTGAGACTATTCTGATAAAATACAACGAAGCATAATCATTGCACTTATTGTGTCTTCAGAATCCTGGCCAACTATAGTTTAAAATGTCCTGGATCCTTTTAGGAAGGATGGACTGGAATACTTAGTCAATGTGGACAGCCATTTGTCTGAAATGATATAGGGTTTTCTGTCTGAGCAGGGGGTTGGACTAGATGACCTCCAAGGTCCCTTCCAACATCATCATCATCATTATTATTATCCAAAGCTCCCATCTGGGCAGAGTTCCTGTTAATTCAGAAAGACTCCGAACCTGCAGACCTGCTGGTCCAGACACAGTGCTACCCTGTGTCTGGAACAACACAGATATAATGTGTGAAAAGACAAATGAACAAACAGCAACTGTGTCTTGCTTAAGTTATAGAGCAATAAGACTATAAACAGTAAATATAATTAATATTGTCTTATTCATAAGATTCCAAATTACAGCATGCATGTCACATTTGGTTATATTTAAATATAAATATTTTTAAAAACTTACATCCCAGTTACTGCAAAGAAAATCTGCAGTACTTAAATATTCACTGGCTCTTACAATATCATCAATATCAGAGAAGAACTCCAAATAATTCTGGTGAAGGTATACATTAAATAAGTCCCCAGGCATATGTGATTTTTCTATGACATCCTAATAAAAGAAAATATACACAGAATATTATATCACATAAAAAAAGTATCTGTATTCCTTTAATTAAGAATTTTGCCATATGTACATAGATACATATTATTATAGAAATAACAAACATTTTTACCTCAGGTTGAACAAGCAAGGGCTGTCGTTCATATTCTGATAAATGTTGAGGTAACTGAGGAAAGTCCACCTCTGTAGCTGGTTCTCCTATAAAATTATTTAAATGATAACTGTAGTTTAATCAAACATCAAATGTCTGAAAAACAGAATCTTGGGAAACCGAGACAGGTATTTCTTCAGAAATAATTAGTTTATAGTTCAATCCTGGCTCACATGGTTTGCGCAGCTTAATATGTATATTGTTATCTAAATTCTAAGTAATATTATGGTGAATTAGCCTGTATCAAAAAGGCAGCACTTCTATTTTGTTGAATATTTTCACTATTATATTTCCATAGGTTTTGTTTCTTTAGTAGTGACACAAAGTGATTAGTCAACATCCTGTTCCAAGGTGTCCATCTGTTGGGGTGAACTATAGGTCCTGAGGAAGTCTAATGTGTATGATTATTGCATGGAAGGGCTTGTCAGTACAGAGAGTACATGTGCTAACTTATGGATATCTGCAGATACTGTTAACAGTTGAAGCTGGTGAGGAAGCAATCTGTAATGTCAAAGGAAAATACTCTATAAGACAGGAGCCAGAAATCTTCAAAGGTGTAAAGTAAATAGCTTTAGGCTGTGGACTAAAAAACATAAGACAAGTCCTAAGTTTTAAGTCCTGACTAAATTATATATAGATGGCAAGATTTAGACAGAGTTTCTTCAAATGTATGGCTCCGTCTTTTTCTATATAATAAATTTACTTAGCTCATTTTCATACATCTGCTCAGGAATGTAAAGTGGGGAAGAGTTTAATTGCTGTACCTGATATTGATAGGTGGGGTCAGAAGTTTTGATCCACATACAAATTACATGAGTTTCCTTACAATGACAGGCCAAGTTAAGGACAAAAATTATTACTGAAATGTTATTTTTTTTTTTAAGTTATAACAGATATATACATACATTCAGTTATAGTCAAATACAGAAATTAATAAAGAAATATTAGAATGTTTACATATATAATATAATAAGGATGAGTAGATTCTCTTACTTTTGCAGTAAAGTATTTTCCCCAAAGCATGGAAAAGGAAGATGGAAGCATCCTTGCTACCAATAGCTGGTAGTTGTTGGTCTTCTAAAAAATTATTGAATAGTTTTTTCTTCTTTATTTTAGATGATGTATCACATTTTAAAACATAATTTTTCTTTCTTTGTGACCATAAGCTCTTGTCTGATGGCTTCTCTGAAAATAATAAAAAACAAGAAAATTAATAAATTCAAAAAATGAAAAACTTGACTTTAATAGTGTGGAAAACGAAAATATTGGCTATTGTTCTTCTATGCAAGGTTTAGGGCCAGGTGAATTAAATCAGGTCTCATGGAAAAAGTATTAAACCAAAGTCTGTGCTAAGCTCAATTTTGCAATCCGAAGGAACCCGTGGTGGAATTCAGCTGGTTCGCATCACTTTGGCAGAACTGGTAGCTAATTTTTTGTTGCCCAGGACCAGAATGGCCTCCCGGAAGTGGCATCCTCACAAAGAACCGGTTGTTCACATATTTTAATCCCACCACTGGAAGGAACTATTTGTAATCTAAACTGCAACTTTACTTTATTTAATATGATTTTGCTAAGCTTGCTTGTTTCAAATATATTTAGAACATAAGGACTGGAACTGTAAGAAACAGGGAACTAAAAGTAGCTGATGTACACAATGTACACAAGTATGTGGAAAGTTATGTTCAGCAAAGTGTAAGGTTGCTGACCATCTGTCTACGGTTTTAGGATGAGATTTGCCACTGGCCTATAGCTGTCCTTATTGGAACTGCTATGTCATTGGACCTCATTGCAATGGATTTTTAACATAGTGATGTTTATGTGTGTGTTCCAAATTATTGCTGAAATAAACCCCTGAATTTTAAAGTAAGAAGTATTGCTTTGTGTTGCCGTCTCTTTTTTTCATTGGGTTTTTCCACGACAATAGTATTTTACAATAGTAAGATACAACATAACTTTTACAGCAAAGTTATGTCTAGAAAGAACATATATTGTTTTATTTTTTATTTCACTCTGTTCTAGGTAAAAATGCATGCACATTTTTAAATTATTAAAAAATTTACTGTGAATATTGTTTTTAAAATGCTTTTAATTTTTCAAAAGTTTGAAATTCTTCAAAGGGTAACTGTTTTTATTCCATGCATCTGTGATTTTTCTTTTAATTATTTTTTTATGTACTGCCTATGTGAAGAGGACTTAAAATTTTTAGAAATTAAAAGGTCTTGTTTTATGCTTTCTTATGTTGTTTGACTTAATTATGTTATTGTAATTAACAATGCCTACTAATGATACTGGCTATAACAATGTTACTACAAATAGAAAACATTCTAATTTGTAATATCCGAAAGACATAGTGTGCAATAGGGGTAAAATACTAGAATCCAACATTAATATACCATGTGGGAATTTAGCTAAAAATAGAATGAAAACATCAACAATAAACAAGAATAGTGATAAAAGAAAAAAGATAGCAAAATGGAAAATATTAAAAAAAATAATATGAGTTAATATAAAAATAACACTGCACTTTAAGAATCAAATGAACTTAACTAGCCATATTCAGTTTATCCAGATAAACAATTAGGATAGTTTGTCAATAACATAATTAAACATAACTAGATATAAATTAAGCATTCCTTAATTGGGCTTACTCTTCAAAATTATTATTTTTTTCATCCACTACTATTTCCCACACTTTTAAGCATTAGTAATGCTAAAAAGAAACAGGTTTTTCTATATTGTAAAATAAAATGTTTTTCTGACAAATTCAAAAGCAAAAAATTGTTATTTTTATATGTTATTTTAAAAATTTTAAAGCACAATTTAAATGAATAAGAATATTTTCTTACCTTTTAGAGAAGAAAATTGAAGGGTGTTTATTGCACTTCTAATGTCACCTGAACATCCACTGCAAATCACTTCTAATAAGGCTTTGTCAGGGACATCAATTTTATCTCTTCTCTACAAAGAAAATTTAAAAAAAAATCAAAGCTAATTTGAGTAAATCTACATAAAGCATTCAAAAAATAATATTTCCCATATGCTTCCTGCTTCCATATCCATCTTTTGTTTGGTCTAAAAGTTCAAAAGATTAAGTTCTACTTTCCTATCCATTTTGTAAAAACATTTATCACTTAATACTTTTCACTACTACTACAGAATCATTCAAAACTCTCTCCCTATTTTACTTTCACAACAATTTTATATTAAAGTTGGATGAACAATGCTAATTATGAATGATGTTTAGAACTGATATTCAAAACTAATGTTTAGAACTGAACAAAGATTTTTGAGATCAATACTGTCAACCATTATTTTACAACACGATTTTTTAAACTTCTAAGATATTGTTCAGAAGGAATGTAATGTTTCCATCTCCAACCTTTGCTTTCTATGTCCCTTATAGTATGACATTATTGTAATTTAATTTATCTTACCATATTGATCTCCCCTGTGATTATTCGATTTAGGGCTTTCATCATCAGTGTTGGTGCTACTGGGTTAAAACTGAAAAAATTGTAAGAAGAAAATGGTCAAGATAAATTTCATCATGAGTATTTCATCATGGCCAATGTAGCTGTCAATTTATTTACCTAATGGTTGCTATACACAGCTCTTCCTGAATTGCCTTTGGGAATAGAGATCTTTGGCTGTTGCCTGTGCTGAAAACATCTGATATTATAAATACAAGAGGACATCTGCTTGTCCGCAAAAAACTCCTACAAGAAAAAAAATTGAAAATTAGAAGCTCAAATTTAACAGCATTAATTCTGACCAACAATTAATAGAATTGCACTAGCAAAAATACAAAAGGTACGTAACTTGCAACTCACTCATTTCACCACCCCCAAATTAGCAGCAAAAGAAAGAGATGGAATTTTGTATTTTGGTAGTGAACTATTCTGCACTGGAGAAAGTGAGGCTTGGTCCAACCATACCCATTAATTTCTCTGAGTGATCCTTTGGCAAAATAAGATACTGAACATACCTCAGAATGTCATGTAAACTGCTAGGGTCATGATAAAAATGGTTTGGCATATCCTGTTGAAAAGCAAATACAACGTTGTTATTCTAACGTATCTGCTAAATTGAACTAAAATCTGTTGCGCATTTAGGGTATTTTACTTTACAACTATAAATGTTACAAACATGGAATATTTATTTGAGATGAACCCAATGCAGTATGGTGCCAAGATTGAAGATGGAGAGGCAGAAAGCTACAACTTTCAAGCCAGAAAGTTGTTATGTACACAAACAGTTGTAGCTGTTTTCTATTGCCTTGTAGAGAGCAATGAAATATTATTTAACTTGGAGAAATGGAAATAAAAAGCTTAGATTTAATACCTAGCTTAGTTAGACAAGACAAGCACACACATCTGTGCAGGCCTTAAAAGATATTATCTGCATTAGCTATCAATAGGAGTCTATGCTTTGGGTTTATCTATCTATCTATGACAGATTCTGGATTTATTTCATGCCTAAAAAAGAAGTCCAACATATAAGGGGGCAGTTACCTTTGTTCATATAAATCGAAAGTGCATTTGGAAATCACAAAAATAGATATGGGATTGATTTTGCCCACAATGACTAGTTTTAGAACAAAGAATCTAAATGCTATTGTTATGAATATCCTTTTTTAATTATTCAAAAATTTGGTATTTTGGGCACCAAGAAATGATGGTTACTGAATTTAGAACTCTGAATTCCCAACTAATGCTCTACTATTAGACTACAAAATTTTCCAAAATGATAATAAAATAAGACTCAACAGAATGAAAAAAGATTTCAGGCCATTATTTTGCACTTTCTAAAAGTTTTAAAATCTTAATTTAAAAAATCATATATTTGTTTATATTTGAGCAATTTTATCAATGATTATCAGTAAATCTGTTTGAAATAAGCTATTAGTTATTATTATAGAAAATTGAAATTTTACTACTAAGCAACTAAATTTGGAATACCTAATTAACTTAAAGTGCTATATTTAAAAATTGGGAGAAAATAATAGAACATTTAATTTTAATTATTAAAACACATTAATGGAGTTATTCAACTACTTCAACTTACTTCCACAAGAATAAGTCTTTTGTCAGTGTCCATGGCCTCTCCAACCATCTGAAGCTTGATATACTTGTTTGCTCTTAGGAGAAATTCTTGAAAGATAGCTGCCTGGCTCTGATAAGGAAGTATCTGAAAATCTGATTCTAGATAGGAATATTTATTTTACAATATGCACTAAGTACTAAGAAAAGTACTACAGATATGTGATAATATGCTACAGCTTATTGTTTTGAATTTTGTTCTTATATTTATTTGCATGGATTGTTACTGGTCCAAGATCAATAGACATGTAAATTACAGAAACCGGATGAGCTGTACAGGCAGAGATCTCAGTACACAATAGTATATATTTTGAAACAATGGGCCAGATAAATCAATTACTGAATTGAAATTGTTCAAAAAAATCAGATGTGCTTTAGCACTGAAGGCTTGTCCATCGTTATAATGCTACATTTCTGGGAAAAAAGATGACCTGAATTTTATTTGAAAGTTTAAAACTAGTCTACTGAATTTTTTTTACTGAAAATTAATCATTAGTTTAATAATAGTCATATTATCTAGGTCAGAGATATCAAACATGCGGCACCTAGGCTACATATGAATTACAATGCTCCTGGATGCTGCCCAAACCTGATTAAAATACAGCGGGGAAAATTTATTTAAGAAAATAAGAAAAAGAGAAAATTTAATTAAACATAGATAATATTCCACATTAATGTATTATTGTTTAATTTAAAAATTAAACAATAATACATTTATTCACCAATCACCATAACTCTGGACTCGTGGCTCATGAGGTCAAGTCCGCTGCCTTAATTGCAGTAACAAAGATTTTTTTAGTTTGGATGGAGCAGGAGCATCATGTGACAGAAGTTCCTTCTCAAACTGTGCTGTAGCAGGATGAAATGACCCAGATACTGCAATTAAGCTGAGGCAGCAAGCTTGCACCTTTTTCCCAAGACTGCTGGCAGACAGCTTTGCATTAGTAGCTGACCTTCCCTGAATCCCAGAATCTTCAGTATCTCCTTCCAAAACATATTTTAACATATAACTACTATATATTTTTGCAATTTATTGATATTCTTATATTGTGGTATACAAACTTGTTGTTTTTGAACAAGCTGCACAAAACTTTTTTTTTTTTTGCACACAGAATAACAGAAATTAGAGGGCACACTTTAGGGAAGTGTTGTGGGAGTATGAGGTGGTTTGCAAGTAGGCTCAGAAGAAGCTCAGAATGGAGTTTTGGGGAAATTGAACACCAAGAATTTAATCCCAAGAGTAGAACAAAGCTTTCACTTGGGTTTTATAGAAAATGCAGTTTATCATCCAACTGAAATCAAATGAACTGCAATTAATCTTAAATATCTTTAATGAATGCAAACCAAGTTTAATCCCCTATCTTCAGAGCTGGCTTTTCTTACTAAATATAGCTAAGAATAAATTATGTTCAGACATAATGCAGACATATGGCTAGAACTTCCTTGCAGTCACACTAGCAGAAAGGAAAACAGAACAAGGAGCACATGTAGTCTTGGACACTGCCTGCAGTTACAATTTTGAGTTCAGGTGATATTTTCAACTTGACTGAAATCTGCTATCATTCTAAAATGTAGCAGTTTTAAAACATGGAAAATCATAATATAGAGGAAGCTGAGAATAAAGAATGCCTTTTTTTCTCAGGCATTGAGAATAGAGACTATGAGCAAGTATAAAACCTTTGGAATTTCCTCAGTAGCTTACTTTCGAATCTATTGATTAGAAGTTAGTTCCATTTATTTTAATGAAATTTGCTACCATCTAATGGTCATCCTACCAGAAATAAATATCCCATTAAATATATTCAAATTCTTTAACAATGAACAAGTGAACGTTTTAAAATTGTACCATGATTGAAAGCACCTTGAAAGTCGTCATATTTTTTGAAGTTTAGTGATACAGGATTTATCCATTCTTGTATCTGAATGCCAAGGTCCTTGGCTAATATTTCCACAGTGGCAGATTTTCCACATCCTGGAGGGCCAGTTAACACTAGGATGGAGCCTCCCTATAAGATACTGTATCATAAGCTGAGTTTACAATACTTAAACAAAAAAACAATATGGTTTTCTTGATAAAACATAATAGTACTTTGGTTTCAGTAATATCCATTTTTATATTTTCAGTAAATACAGTAGCCATAGTTATATTCTCAGTAATTCACTATTACAACAACCCACTTCCTTTATGCTGCACAATTAATTCCTGTTACAATTTAATACTTGTTGCAAACAAATTGTTTGGACTGCATTCCAGATGGCCTAGTACACAGGTTGGCAACCTGTGGCTCCCAGCCTCCTCTGCCATTTGCAGAGAGAGAGAGACAGAGAGAGGCACTTGCGCTTCCCTGCTTCTCTCTCTCTCTCTCTCTCTCTCTCTCTCTCTCTCTTAAAAGAGAGTGGACTCACGGTGTTCTCTGACAAGCTGAAAAGCTTTTGGGGCAGGGCTCCTCCCTTTGCTGTGTCTCTGTAGGAAGCAGGAAGGGCAGGAGAGAGCTAGCTAGCCCTGCTATGCTGACTCAGGAATTCTGGGAGTTGAAGTCCATGAGTCATAAAAGAGCCGAGGTTGCCTACCTCTGAGCTTGTTGGAGAACAGCTTTAAGCCAGCTTGCCAGGTGAGCAGAAGATCAGAGGGGGGGGGAGAGGGGGGGAAGGGGACTGGCAGACCAAGGGCAGAAAGAGACAGAGGGACGGAGGGAGAGACAGAGAGACCCTTTTGACATCTAAAATGAAGATAGCACTGCATATATCCTTTTTTACCTTTATGATATATATACCTTTATCATAAAGGTAAAAAAGAATATATGCAGTGTTATCTTCATTTTATATATCAAAAGGGTTTTGCGGCTCCCAGTGTTTTGTTTTTGGTGGGAAACGGGTCCAAGTGGCTCTCTGAGTGTTTTGGGTTGCCTACCCCTGGCCTAGTATGTGTCAAATGTTCTCTAAATGGAAGCAAATATTCCTTAATGGAAACTTGCTTACTCACTTAGTGACATAAAACTTCTGGATATTCAGAAAAAAAGAAACACCAACTGAATAATGTATCTCAAGACAATCTTTGTACAAATCAATTGCAACTTGTTTTATCTTTATCTCCACAAATAAGTTTATTTTATTCTAGTAAATAAATGTTGCTCTAAAATTATATTACACAAGATTTTGATAATATTCTAATTTTATTTCATTAATTATTCAGCCAAATAAAATTGGTAAAATAAAATTAAAACTAGTGATTGAAGTTAAATAAAAGCTTCAAAATGAGCAAACTGGCAGATAAAAGTCTTAGGTTCATAACATTACCTGTCTTGGCTGATTTTGAAATATATGATCTTTTAACCATCTTTCAACTTCTTCAATTTTTTTCTTGTGTATGACAAGGTCAATCTAACAAACAAAAATATGCATATAAGACATATTTATGAAGCAAAATGTTAAATTATTTATTATCTATACTGTAATTCTCTTAGCATATATACCAGATGTAAACAAATTAAAATATTAGAGAAGAATCCAATCTCTGTGACAATTTACTTCACTTACAAAATGATATACAAATGATATAATTTTGGTCATTTGTAAAACAATAACATACGTATATTGAAATGAATATTCTCCCCTTATTCTACCTATATGCTGAATACATATTAAGGGAAACTGAAATTGAAGATGAGGAGAATGGTTTTAAAGTTGGAGGAAGAAACATAATCTGTGCTATGATGAGGATACTACCCAGACAGCAGAAAATGCAAATGCTCTGCAAGCCTTAATATAAAGTAGAACACAATGAAAAAATGAAACTAAAATTAAATATAAGGCTAAACTTATTACAAGTAGAACAACCAGTGTGTAACTTTAGAGAAAGAAGTACATTTATAATTGTATTTATAATTGCTGTAAAGAAGATAGAAAGCTACTTTTCTGTATTTTTTTTCTATTTCTATTTTTCTTTCTTCCTTGCACTTCTAGCTTTAATTTTTTTTTATCATTTCCTTACTCTGACTAACTTTCTATTAGGTTTTTTTATTTTTTAATAAATCTTTTAATAAAATTATATCTATATCTACAGTATATGTATATTAAAAAACAAAGGTACAGTAATTAGCCTTAGAATTGACAATGAAGATATCAAAGTGGTGGATAGCTTCTGCCTTTTAAGATCAATAAAGCAACAAGCAGTCAAGAAGTATGCCTCAAACCAGTGGTGACGAACCTATGGCAAGGGTGCCAGAGGCAGCACTTGGAGCCCTCTCTATGGGCACACGTGCCATTGCCCCAACCTTGCCTCCCCCTGGGACCCCCTCCTCTCCAGCAGTCCCCCTGAAGGAGAGTCACCCTCAAGCGTGGCCCACACAGAGCAACGCAGCCAAGGACATGGCAGCCAGGCAGTGTAGACAAGACTCTGCCCTCACACCCCATCATGCAGTTAATGCTGCAGGGTGTGGGCAGAGGGTGTGGCCACCATAGTGCTGCTGGGCTGCCTGGGAGATCTGTGGGGGGCCATGGAGGGGTGAGTGTGGTCCTGTGGGCAGGCAGGGCGGGGAATGGGGGGTCAGGGTAGGGGGGTAGAGCGGGTGTGGGGCCAGTTTTTGGGCACTCGGTCTCTAAAAGGTTCTCCATCACTGCCTCAGAGTATTTCCAATACTGGAAATGGAAAAGACATCCCATCTCTTGAGATTTCAGAATACATCTGAAGACAAGGAAGATGATCTTACAGAGCTTACAGAGCTGTTAGTAGAAACATAGAAACTTGTGAAACAAGAAATGGAAGGAGAAGAAGAAAAGTGAGAGCTGCTTTTCCTATTTCAAATAGTACCTATAGTGAAAAAAATCTTTGATGACTTAAATACACTGACTTGGAAACCCACTTGGCAAAGGAAGGAAGCCAGAATTAGACTAAAGAAAATAGAGGATTTGGCTCACTGGATTGGGTCTTATATTACTAAGCATGTGATTAAATACGGCTAAAAGAATGGATAATCTTTAGACATCCAAGATTACTATACTTAGAAGGATATGATGTATAATTAGGAGAGCATGTTTTTTATGTTTTGGGAAGAATAAAATGGATATATACTTTCAAAATTAGAAATATACTATTTTTAGTATGGGAAATAAAAGCTAAAATCTATATGAAAATACCAGGGTGGCTTTCAACAATAGAAGCTTCTGTTCACCCAAACTAAATCAATTTTGAGGAAATTGTAACCTATAAAGATATTTTGAATATTTAAGGGAAATTAAAACTGAAACAAGATTGGAAGATCATGGTATTGATTTATTGTGATGGCCTCAATTGTAAATACAACTGGAATATGAGAAAGATGTTAAAATATGTTTTATAAAGATTAGATTTTGATCAGGTGATAAAAATACATATCTGGCTAAGAAAGTGTATATTTAATGTTGCATGTCTTAATAACAGTAAGAATTGTATTTGCGGGAAGATATAGAATATTTTTAAATATCGGATGTATTGTATCACTGGCTGGGAAAATGGGTTACAGATTAGGAATTTAATATGTACTATTGAGTAAAGCAAATGGACCCAGACAACACATTGTTCACTAAGCACTTATGAATTGTAAAAATAGAAAACTAATAAAATATTATATTAATAAGAAGTATGCTGCAGACTAGTACTTGATAGACCAGATATGAAGAAGATATTCAAATGCTATAATGTTTATATCACTACAAAAATTAGAATCATGCAAGCCATGATATTCTCTGTGACACTCTATATAAGTGAAAGCTGAACTTTGAAAAAGCAGGATAGAAAGAGTATTGATGTCTTTGAACTCTGATGTTAGAAAACGCCAGAAAATAATATGGACAGTCAAGAAAAGAAACCAATGGCTCATTGAACAAATCAAGGTTCTAATGCTGGCAAAGGGAGAAACAGGAGAAGGGAGAAATGAGGGGAAGAGGGGATAGCAGGGAAAAAGGAAAAGAAAGGAAAGGAAAGGAAATCAGTATGGTGGATGGACTCAATTATGGTGGTAATGAGGGCACTGCTGGAAGACCTCAAAGAATGTGTTAGAGATAGATTGTCATCAGAAAATCTATGTGATTACTTGGAGTCAAATGTAACTTGATGGTATATAATCAATCAATCATGCACCTTCTAATTTAACAGACAACTGGGAATAACACATCTTCCTTCCTACAAATGGTCCATTAAATTACAGTTTCACTGAATACTTATGATCAAAACCTGACATTTTTATAATAATTTTTAATTTAGTATTTTGTCTATTTCTTTGGACATATTGTAACAAGCAAAACAGTTATTATATTAAATATATACCAATATGTATATATTAATGCAAATATTAGTACTACTACTAATATACATTATATATTAAATCGTATAAAACTGTACCTGAGTTTTTGGTTTGTATTTATCTACCCATGGTTCAATTTGGATGTGATTTTGTTTGAAGAGTTTATATTTCTCATCTACAGAAGCTGGTTTTCTTATTTTTCTACCACACTTGTAATTTTGAAGCAGAGGAAAATGCTCTTTGCTCTCGTGATAATTGTCAATATCTGTGAGCGATTTTTTATGGAGAATACTAGATGATAGTTCGGCAGTCTCACAAAAATCAATAAAAGATGGTTCCACCCAATCAATTTCCTGATAATTTAAACATGTAGAAATTATTGCAACACAAAAATTATCAATTCTTAAACCAGTTAGTATTTTATTATTCCATTTATATACAGTAACCAATATTTTATTAGTTAGGAAAATGAACACGAAGTAAACTATCATACAATATGTAATATGTGTGCAATCATTTACTGAACCTAAAACAATTTAAACGCACATAAACCACTTCCAAACATTTAGTAACATTTTGCTTATCTTTAATAGTTCTTACATTTCAATTCTGTTTAGTCTAAAAAAATTATTGCAATTTTTAAAGAAGCCAAATGCAAATTAAACAACAAAAAAATCCCAGATTAAAAGACTAGATTGTGTACAGGTAATCCTGAGTTAACAGCATTCCCTTAGTGAATGTTCGAAGTTATGTGATAAGCACCGCCTAGTGTTTTTGAAAAAGTCCCAAAATTTCAGCAATCGTTCACCCTTACGAACAACCACAGTGGCACTGCAACATTTACTCTGGCTATTTCCTCCCTTGGGTCTCCCTAGGCACTAGGCCTGTGGATATTCACCTTGTGAAGACTAAGAGATCCTTTGCTTTCTTGGCTGCTCCAGGCCTTTGGTGCATTTACAGAGAATTGAGGCCTTCAGTAACGCAAGAGATTAGTGGCGCGAGATCTTATGCTATTGATCTTGTGTGATTTCATGGTAAGTTTAGCCTCTGTTCTCTGCAACAGAGAATAGATCGGAAGCTGGGGGTGGCTTCCACGGGCCTCTGGAGACCTGATCCAGGCAGCAACCTTTTCTGGGTTGCTGCCGCCCAGAAAGGAGGCCAGGGGAAGGTTTTGCAGGCCTCCGAGGTCCGTTCTGGGCTTGGAGGCCTCTCCAGGCTTTCAAGGCCCAGAATTGAGGCCATGAGTGGCGACCACGTACTTCCAGAGGTCCGTTCTGGGCTTGGAGACCTCCTCCAGGCTTTCAAGGCCCAGAATTGAGGCCATGGGTGGCGACCACGTACTTCCAGAGGTCCGTTCTGGGTCTCGGAGATCTACTCTAGACTAAGGCCCAGGACGGAGGTAGTGGGCAGCAGCTATGTGCTTCTGGAGGTCCATTGTGGTCCCCCAGAGGCCTCCCTCTATTCTTGCTGGGAGCAGGAGACAGATCTTCACAAGGTAAGTGGGAGGGGGAGCAATTGTGGGACCTCCAGGGAGGGAGCATGAGGTATCTCAGTGGGGGGAGGATTGGGTGGTCTGAAGCAGGTGACCTGTTCCATCACAAGGCCACTCTGACCTTTCCCACCCTGAGATGTTCACTTAACGAGCTATGCATTCACCCACGCATTAAATTAAGTAAATGCGTGGGTGAAAGCTGGAAGTAAATCATGTTCAAGGTAAGAGATTCACTCCTACGAATCCTCGAGTTATGAATGGAATGAGCAGGCACAGCACTACCTGTAATACCAAGTGTGGAGAAAAAAAATCCCCAGATTTTTTTTTCCACACTCAGTATTACACAATCTAGTCTTTTAATTAAAAGTTTAAAGTTATAATGACTTCAAAATACTCCATTTGGCTACAAGGGTTTTGATATGCCGACATCAACCTGAATTTAACACCTGATACAATAAATAATAATTTAATAAAATAAATAAATCACTTACTTTAGTTGGGGCTGCCTTTCTTTTTGAAGATTTTTTTGACATCATCAGCCTTTGTAGTTTCCATCCGAAGTATACGATTAAATGCCTTTAAAAATAAAGTACCTAAAAGATAAAGAAACTTTTATATTAATGAAGTCTGCAAGCCCGCAGATAGTTACTGAGAGAGGACTTACATCTGCTTTTCTCATTTGTATAGCTTCTTTTTTCTCTTTCACATATTGTTACTTTTTTTTCTTTTTAAAAAAGCTACTTTTTATTGCTACAGAACAGGAATGCACCACCTCCAAAGTTCCTGAAGTGCTGCCCTCTGTTGAAAAGAACACACTTCTATCCAACACAGTTCTAAAATTTTCAATTATAGCAACATCTATTTAGTCCAGAAATAGAATAATGTATATAACATTATAATACTATAACACATGCATGAGATAACCTGCATATTTAATTTTTCACAAATAGCGAATGTCTTGGTATGTACAATAATTTATACATACAACATGCAACAAGCCAATTGGAATTGCATAGTTTTACTGTATATCTATAATCTCCACTGTCATTGTGAATATACTTCAATAATTTCAGTACAGAGGATTCTTATTTAGTGACAATTGGACCAGCAACTCAGTTAAGGGAAGTGGTTGCTAAGTGAAACCTCAACTGTGTTTACAATCTTACTTCAGTTTTCCTTTGCTTTACAGACCTGTGAAGAACTAGTTACAAAGCTACTAGTTACTAGTTACAAAGCTACTTTTTATCACCACTCTATGAATGGTTGCTATCTGAGGTAGTTGCTAACAAGGACTATCTGTACATTAAGCTATTTTTGTTTTGAAGCTAATCAGCCAAGGGAATTCTAATCTAAACATGTTCCTAATCCGGATACATCATTGTACCCTATTTGATCAAATTATAAACTCCAAGCTTTTGAGAAAAATTCAAAAGCAGACAGACAACGTATCTGCAAAACAGGCTATTGGGTTTATTGTCAAAAAGAAAATACTAATAATTCAAAAAGAGAACAGCCAAAACTTCATTACTTCTCAGTGTCACCATTACATATTTGTACACCTAAGTAAAACGTATAATGAATAGTATAGTATACAGATTCACCTGAGGTAGCGAAACAAAGTTCCTATTTCTATGTTCATATACACCTCTGAAATGAAGTTGACAAACACCTTCCCTGACAAACATAGTGTGGATTATGTGGATTATATTGAAAAATTTATAGCATTTTTTTCAAATTTTTCAATTTTAAGATGCGCTGACTTCAGCTCCCAGAATTCCCCAGCCAGAAATCTGGGAGTTGGTCCACACATCTTAAAAGCTGACAAGTTTGAAAACTGGTTATATCTTTGGGAATCAGATAAATGAAAAATCATGAAACATTTATGCAATTAAAGAAGCATTCAAGGAAGGAACAAAAATCAAATACAGGCCATACGACACATACTGATTTAACCAATGGCCTCCAAATATTGACAGGGTACTTTTTGAGGTCTTCAAGATTCAATGGCTGCCTTTAAAGGACTAATATGTGTGCGCTTCTCTAGACAGCTTTCCCCTCCCTTTCTATGAAAAAGACATGCGGTAAGGTTTATAACTAACAGTCACGTATGTGGGATGGGCAGCTATATAAATTAAATAAATATTATAAGCAAATCCAGCAAGGTGGGGGTCGGGGTGGGAGGTTTTCTTATTCTATGAGTGACACCTCCAAGGTGGAAGACGACTTCAGCCGCCATGCACTTTTGAAAGAACTCTTCCCGACTGCGCTCAGCCACGAAGCCCGGCCTCGTCCCTAAGAGAGAGGCTCCATCCAGATATAGTGCACGGGCACCATTTAGTTCTGTCAGGCTTCAGCCCACTTATTTCCGTCACCCAAAACCACACCCAGTCCTTCACACTCCCCTCTTTCTCCCTACCCTCTCAGGCCAGCTCCATTCCGACTGGGGCCTTTCATGCTCTTCGGCGCTTAGCTGTTCGCCGAGCGCCTAATATGGCTTCTACTTCGCTCCTTCTCCTGCTTTTAGTCAGGCCCTGCGAGGAGTAAATATGATCGAGAAAGCTTCCGGATAAAAAAAATAAAACCCTGCAAGACTTTATCTTTTCCACCTACCGTTGGAAGAGAGAGAAAGGAGGGCCCGACTGACGTCTTAGTCTGCTGCCATCCGAGTAGGACGGTTCAGGTCCCCGCGAATAGCTGCACGTGGCTTCTTGATGGCAACAGGAGAAGCGGCTGTAGGAGCAATAGAGCGGCTATGAAGAGGCCTAACATTTTACTCACAGGTAAAATAAAAAACAAACAAACAGCGAAAGGGTCCGTAAATAGGAGGAGAAGCGGGAGGTGTTCGGATTAGTATAGCTTTAGATCGAGCGCAGTCGCACTTTCCAAGAAGAAGGAAACAAATAGGGAGCGTAAACAAATCTCCGATTCAGTCTCACGCAAGGGTAATATCACACATCCCAATGCTGCCGCAATCAAAATCGATGATGGGATAGCAAAAGTTAGTCTCATTTGCTTTGCTCTGGTTGCTTTTAGCTAATTTTGCTTTCAGACTTTCCCACGTTTTGAATGCATCGCTCTTTCCTCTCAAGAACAGCAGGTAAAAATTTCCCTTTCGTGTTGCTTTTTTATTTGCATTAAATTTAATATATAAGAAGCATTCAAAAATGCGATTACCTACTTTCAGTTGGAAGTGGTGGTGTTATTCCATAAACATTAGCACCTCTTGCATGTGAAAACCAGGATTAACCAATGGGTCTTGTATGAGCCCTTGTTCTCGGATAGGTGTGTGTATGTGTTTGTGTGCATCTATGTATGTATGTATGTATGTATATGCTAGGACTAAATGATCACATTTTTAGAGACTAAGAAGCACTCGTTGCAGTAAATACCTTGTTAGTTTTTCAGATTGATTTTGCAATGAAAGCTTATTCTAAATATTTACTAAGTACTATCCTGATTGTTTCTTTGTGCCTTGCATTTTTGTAGGTACGCCTGGTGTTGGGAAAACAACCCTAGGCAAAGAGATAGCTCTGAGAACAGATTTTACATACATTAATGTGGGGGATATGGCTAAAGAAGGTAATTTTTAAAATTTTACAGTATCTACCATTTTATTAACATTTATGCTCCAACTTTTCTGATGTACATGGATAAATATATCTAATTTAATACTAATTATATCTGTAATTTATATATTTTAATAATACAGACATTCCAGAAGTATTTCTAAAGTGGAATCCTGTACAACACATTAGATTAAAAAAAACAAATATGAAAATCAACTGTAAAATCAGTGCAAAAAATCAAGCTGAAGAAATTATTGTTAATTCTTTTCCCAAAAACCAAGTGGATGCTATCAAGAGCAGTGAATGAGAGATTCATTGTTTAAATAGTTGACTACTGTAATTAAAAGGATTTGATTGTGGCTGGGGAATTCTGGGAGTTGAAGTACATACTTCATGAAGTTGCCAAGTTTGAAAAACACTCATCTAGAACATACAGCATAAAATACATCTGAAGATTAATAACAATGAGTTTCCATTTTTTTTTAATTATTCAGGGGAACTATACGAAGGCTTTGATGAAGAATATGAATGCCCAATATTAGATGAAGACAGAGTGAGTTTAAACTGAAATATGTATTTAATTATCTATTCAAATTTTTGTAACTAAGAATCCACTGTTTAGTTTTCTTTGCATTATTTTCTATATAGGTTATTGATGAAATGGAAGATAAGATGCAGGATGGAGGTGTCATAGTTGATTATCACAGCTGTGACTTCTTTCCTGAACGCTGGTTTAACATAGTATTTGTGCTTCGCACTGAAAATTCTTTTTTGTATGACAGATTAGAAAACAGGTAAGTCAGTGACACAAAACTAAATACCGTATATGCCGGCGTATAAGACGACTTCCGCAAGCGCTACACTCGGCGCCAAAGATGGGGGTTGTCTTATACGCCGAGTCATCTTATACACTGGAAATACTGGTAGTTTCCGGTGTATAAGACGACGTTCTAGGAATGCAGCTTGGCAACAAAGACGGGGGTGGTCTTATACGCCGGGTCGCCTTGTACGCCGGCATATACGGTATAGTTAAATTTCAACTTAAAGCAAACCTTATTAATGTATAATATCTAACTTCAGTATTTTTACCTAAAAAATTAAATGTTTGATGTTTTTATATTTTTCTAGAGGTTACAAAGGAAAAAAGCTTCAAGACAATATTCAGTGTGAAATCTTTCAGACAATTTATGAAGAGGCCATGTCATCCTATAAAGAAGAAATTGTACATCAGTTGACTAGTAATACTCCAGAAGATATGGAACGGAATTTAGATCAAATTATACAGTGGATTGAACAGTGGATAAAAGACAACAATTAATTTTTTGGAAAAAATATTTACAGTGATAAATAGAAGTTGTTTTCCTTCATTGAAGAAACAATAGTTGCTTCATTCAGGATGAAAATTAACAAGGAGGCCACTGAATTTTCTATTTTATGCTGTGTTCTTTATTTAGACTATGAAAGCAGGTATCAGACATTAAAGGGTTAAGAATTTAAAAATCTGAAAAATTGGGTATCCAATATCCAATAATAAAAATATTTGTAAAGATAAAAAATATTTCCCTAGATAATATTGCTGCCAAAATCTTACTCCTGTACAAAGTTTTATTAATGCAGCGGATCTTCTGAGATTCATTTCTAAACATGGGACCATGCAATTTAGTATATGAACATAATTTTAGTTATTTATTAACATGGTGTAAATAGCTAAGCAAATTTGTATCCGTGTCTATGTTTTTGTTGATTTGTTGCTGTTTAGTAAACTACTTTGCTAAGCTTATTTCTTGTTACGTTTAGAAGACATCCTCAACCCAGATTCATGAACTCATTTCTGGATAAATGCTGATGGCATTTTGTAAGATTTTTGAAACAAATAGGTTATATGTGTCCATAACTATAGTGATCCAAGAAGTGTGCGATGCCATTGCTTGTATCATGTTTTTCTATTTTCTGCCCTAGCCTGGGTCATAATAAATATTACCAGAATTCATTATCCTATTTTTTTCTAAATACTGAGTAATTTAATAAAAAGTGAACATATAGTGAAAAGACAAGAACATTGGTTGGTGAGAAAGAGCATTTTGTCATGTCAAAAAGTGCTATATAAGGTATATAAAGTGCATTTTTCGTAGCACTCCCAAATTTGATACTAAATGGATTTGATAAATTAAGATTTTAGTCCTAACCTTATATCGTATTCCATCCAGAGAATGAACAGAAGACTGTATTTAGATTCTCTTTTCCCACAACCTTTAATACCTGCACGATCCAAAGCAGAGTTTGATTGTGTAGGAAGAGTGTTGGGGATATAGACTTCTGCCTTTTGTACTATTAATGAAATGACTTGATTAGAAGCACAATTGCCTTCTGTTTTCTATTTTGGTTATATTCTGAAAATGGTTACAAATCCCTCTTAAATTGAATCATGAGATTTAAAATAGGGTAATGCATATTTCTTTCTCTATTTGTAAACTGGGTCAATGATACTACTTTACAGTACTATAGTGGTAGTAATACAGGTAGTGGTCATTTAGCTACTGCAGATTATGATGGTGATGGAAAAGTAACCATAAGCAGTTCTCATACTTCACAGGTCTATAAAGCAAACCAAAGCTGAAGTAAAATTATAAGCATAGTAGTTTCATTTGACTGCTTCACTTAATGACTGAGTTGCTGATCCCAATTGTGATCACTAAATGAGAATTATGTGAAAAAGATACTTTTAAAAAAGTCTCATAAGCATAATTTTTACTCACTCTGCCTAGAGTATTACTGTACTTCATTTGTCTGAAACTAAAAGTTCTCAGAAAAAGTTACATTTTTTAAAACATTAAATATTTTTAGATTGCAACTGAACTGATTGAAAATAGTCACTTCTGTTAGGTGTTATGTTCGTGCTATCTGAAAAGCAGATGCTTGGCCAATTGCAAGATTTAATTTACCTTCTGTATATTAAGTACTGATTCTTGGAACCTTGTCTTTCATTACAAAAATGACAGTATTTAGCAAATGTTTTGAGCAGTCAACAATTTGGATCATGCATCTTTTGTTATTTGGTACTTGTACTGTCATACTTTATTTTCAAAATAATTCTTAAATTCTTTCATATTACATTTTTCTGTATGTAATTAAGAACAAAGATTTAAATACGTTTTTTGAAAATAAATGAAGATACTAAAGGCAATCATTTAAAAATTATTTCTATCTCAATGCAATCATTTTGAGAGTGGCTTATATAATACAAAAAAATTAAACTTACGACTTAATTTATAACTATGGCTCAATTACAAAATCATTATTTCGCAGACATCTACTTGAACCTGTATTATTTCTAGTATTAGTATATTCGTTGTTTAAAAGAAAGGTTATGCAATATTTCAGTAGCCTACCATATACGAAATTTCAGATATCCTATTACATAATTAAGTCTAGAATTCAGTTTATAGCTTTTGTTATTTTTTTTCTTCTCCCTGGTGGAAATCTTGTAAAGATACTGCTTTTCCCCACCCCATCAGAAAAGAAAGCCTTGAATTCTTTTCTGCAAACTATTTTAAAACATAAGCCATATAGCGGAAAATACAATAACTCGGAGCAAGGTTTGTAGAAAAAGTCCGGAGCGTCTGTGGATACAATAGGAAAAAAATGTCGCAATCAGTGAGCTAAATCGACCGGTTACGTGAGTCAGTAGAATGCAGCCTTACAATACTGTTAAGACTTCTTAAGTTCTTTTAAAGTTACCACCTAAATTTCCTTCGTTATGCAGTCCCTCAAACTGGAATAACCATTCGACCGTCGGAGATTTGTTCCGTTAGTTTCCGTCTTCTGACGTGGTTTGTGGCAGAGGACCGACCCTGCAAGCAGGAACCTGCTTCCGCCTCTGTCGGACCCAGCCTAGTGAGCCGCGCTCCACCTTCAAGCGCGGAGGCGGAGGCATTGCGGTCAAAAGCCGGGCGAAAGTTTAAGCTCTGCCCTGCGGGAGGAAGGAAGGGAGGGAGGACCGCGCCGGGCAAACCAGAATTGAGCTGGCAAAGGAGGAAGCAGAGAGAGCCCTGTCAGACAGGTGGGCGAAGGAGCAAGCGCTGGGTCTCCCTGCTGGATCGCGTCGCTTCATGTGGGAGCCGCGACGAGTAGCTCTGGGGCGCCGGGGTCGTTGAGGGAGGAGGAAGAAGCCGAGGAGCACATTGAGACGTAAGCCCGGAGCTTTGACTTCTGTGGAAGCTTGCTGTTCGTTTGTAGTAGTAGAACCTCTGGGAGGCCTCTAAGGGACTTTGAGGAAGGGTTTGCGTGTCTGTTCTGTAGGTGTGACTGCTGGACACTTCAGATGCACTCGGGTCTGCATACCTCTCAGGAGCTTACCACTGGGTTGGATTAGTGGACGTTTGGCTGTCTTTCCGGACCAAGTAATCCAACAAGGAACAGGCTTAGTTCTGGTCATCGTGGAGATGATGGAAGGACTGCAACCTGTAGACTGTTTGATAGCAGGGTGCTTATGAGATACAGCGGAGCCATCGCTGAACAAATGAAGTGTTATTGTGCTTAACAAATAAGGTTCTCAATACCTGTAAAAATGTATATTGTATTAAGAAGCAGAATGGGTGCACCCTACCAAAGTGACAGTATAGTCTGTACTGGTAATCTCTTCTAATATTAGAATACTGTAGTAGTCCATCAAATGTTAAAATGGTTTTATGTTATGCAGGCACAATATAAAAGTCTCTGATAAGTTTAATACATATAGTACAGAGAATGTGGCAATTTAATAAATTATGGATTATTGTTTGTGTAATATATATGTTTTATATGTTTGTTAACCATTTAATACATATTTAATTGCGCTTAAATCTGGAAAGAAACAAACTTTTATGAGGCAATATGAAGAGGATAAATGTATGCATGCTGTTAATAATGGTTTTAGTTCCTATAATGATTACTTGTAGAAAAAGGATATTTTCCCTTTGCTAAGTTAAATTTTGGGAGGATGATAATGATTAGGTTAAAAAAAATATGAGATAAAAAGTATTGAAAAACAGAAATATTGGGTGTTTCTAGTTTGTAATTTTAGGTCACATTGCTCAAAGTACTATTGATTATCAAATTTTCTTTTGTAGAAAAAATAAGATTATATGAAAATAGATGCTTCATTTAAAATATTGTTTGCAAAGAAAGAATGATTACAAGTAGTCCTCAATTTATGAACATGATTGGGCCTAAAATTTATGTTGCCAAGTGAGACATTTGTTAAACAGGTTTTGCCCCATTTTACAACTTTTCCTGCCATGGTTAAGTGAAACACTGAAGTTAGTAATACAGTTGTTAAGTGAATCTGGTTTCCCCCATTGACTTTGCTTGATAGAAGATGGCAAAGGTGACCACGTGATCCTGGGACACTGCAGTCATCATAAATATGAGTCAGTTGCCAAGTGTCTGAAGTTTGATCATGTCACCATGGGAATGCTGCAATGGTCATAATGTGAAAAACAGTCTTTTTTTTAGTGCTGCTGTAACTTTGAAAAGCGAACTGTTGTAAGTCAAAGACTTGTATTGTAATAATATTACAATAATAATTTGTAATAAAATTATTAAGGACAGCATCCCATCAAAGAAAACTGGAATGTACTTAAGTGTAGAATTGGATCATTTGTAGTGTAACTCGATACTACATATAACTTGATTCCTCTTCTACAATTGGTGAATCGTTAAGATAAACAATGCTTTCTTTTTTCTCTGATTTAAGTAAACAAAGCACCTGGGTGTGTTTATGCCAGCAAAGTACAGTTTTATAGTGATATGCTTTTGTAATTTAAATTTGCAATGACTTTTGCTTTGTATGCAGTAAAAACAAAATATTTTACATAGCTAAATAATTTTTAAAATGGAAGGTTTGGATCAATTAGGAAACATGAATATAAAAAAGGTACTGACTAAAACATCTGTAAGCATGTTAGAACTAAAAGTTGGAGGCATCTTCAATCTAAACACGATTCTAAATTTTTGTGAACTTTTTTTTTAGTATATCTTTACCTGAAGATTTTAAGAAAGTGTGGAAGCCTGGAATAAGAAATCATTTGTATTGCCAATGTGTGAAGCAGGCCTAATGCATAAAAAACTGTGTGATGCCTTGGAAGGTGAAGACGACATGATATATGGAGATTTGGGAAATGGATTTAAAAAACATAATGGTATTTATGAATCAGAAGTCTTTCACAAATATACAGCTAGGTCTAGAAGCGGTTCTGCAAGGAAGAGTTTGCCAAGTGATGGTGAAGAATATGATGCAGGTTTTTTTCGTTGCTCAAAATGTGACAGTTTGAATGATGTGCCAGTCAAAAAAATCGGAAGGAATGGATTTGTTCCCTGCAAACAACAAGCCAGTTCTGGTAAGTCTTTTAACAATGCTATTAAGTGATGAAAGTCTAAAGTTTTACAGAATTAATATTGGTAAATGTTTTGATCCTAAATGCAGACACTAAGTCCAGAAATTCCATTTATCAGACCATCTTGATTAAAAATGGTGACTGGAAATTTAATTTCAATTCTTCGGGTTATATATGTTCAAAGAAAAATAAATAATACATTAAGTTTCAGAAATAATTTTGATCTAAGTGCATGTTTTCAAACAACAGTACCATTTTGCCTTATACTGATGCTGCGATAGCTGGATTATAAATATTTGGTCCTGCAACATTTTATATGAGCACAGAAGTACACAAAGCAGTCTTATTTTGGCTAAAAATACAATTAAATACTATTTCAATGCATTCGAAATTTAATGAATTTAATGTCTCTAGGACAATGATGGCGAACCTTTTAGAGACCGAGTGCCCGAACCGCAACCCAAAACCCACTTATTTATCGCAAAGTGCCAGGGGCCCATCAGCATTGTGGTGCCTCTAAGTGCCACCTCTGGCACGCAAAAACCAGGGGCGCAAAAATGGGCCACCGTGCTGCAAGGCGCAAAAACGGCTGCTGCCGTGCCATGGGGTACAGATACAAGGTGCTGCACCACACAAAAATGGGGCAGGGCTAGTGAGTATCATGCAGGCACTAGCCCCGTCTCATTTGCAGCGTGTGCATGCTCGCGGCCCTGTTCACCCATGCGTGCATGTAAAATGCTTCCCCTCCCCTTTCTTCCAGTCTGCCAACCGACAATGGTTGGTGACTTCTGCTCTACCACCTCTACTCGACCTTGCAAATTGGCCACTTCGCCTCCTTTGTGCTGGGCGGGGTTCCTGCTCCGGGCGGTGGTGGTGAGCTGATGGATCTGCTGCTGGTGGTGGCGGCGGCACGTGTGCCAACAGAGAAGGCTCTGAGTGCCATCTCTGGCACGCGTGCCATAGGTTTGCTGCCACTGCTCTAGGACAATTTCCCTAGGGGAACATTTGGCTGGGATAGTGCTAAAAACATAGCCTTAAAGAAGGGAGGGATAACAGTCCCTCTTTATAAACTCATGCAAATTTACAAGTAACTGCATAGAGCAGCAAACTATTTGGATTTACAATAGCCAATATTTGATTGGATATAGCACAACATGCATCTACAGTACTGAGGTCAGTGAGTCAATTAGGATGTAATTAGAGGTAATGGGGCAGGAATACAAAGACAATACTAGTTTTGAAAAACAAAGAGGCAGTATTCCATGAACAGTTTGTCTCTGGGGATTTATTTTCTTTTGATTTCGCAGATCTCTACTTGCTGTTTCCTAGTTTATCAGCACTTCTTGGTCTTCTAAATGTTTTATGGTTGAACTGACAATTTAGTTTCCCTGAGAAGGTATATTTAGATAACTTTTCATCTTGACCTCCTCCAAGTTATCCTTCCTGGCAATGGATCATAAGAGAGGAAGTAGTAATA